TTCCGCCCAGTTTACTATTTGCTCCCAGCACAGAATCTGACGAACTAGGAGTGGGAAACAGAGCGATGGACCTGCACACACAGTGAGCCACAGCTCGAAGCTGGCAGACAAGCCGACTCAGGTGGTTTACAGCCTTTGTCTGTGGAGCATAAAGCAAAAGACAGAAGCTCTGGAAGGCCGTATCTACCCTCGGGCAGAGGAGAGGGCGGGAATTACTCCCTCCCTTTGCCAGAGTGCACCGTGGTGCCCTGCGGCCCCTGAGCGGTGCCAGCGGTTAGCGGTGCCCAACCTAACAGTAGGTCCTTATGCAGAGCAAGAAGCCCTGTCTAGGAGACCTCTGAAATGCTCCCATGTGAAGGCCTTTGCCATATTCAGGGCACTTTCAAAACAAATAGAGAAAGCAGAACACTTCCTCTTCAGCCTCCTTTGCAACGAAAGCCTAGCACGTGACCCAGCCCACTGCTCACACCCCTGCACAAGACTGCCCTTCAGGGCCACCGGGAAATTCCACCTTGCTGGCAACGCAGCACTGAGCAGGGGCACAGGGCAGTAGGACTACCTCCTTCTGCAGGGGCGACATTGGCATAGCACACTGCTGTGGGTGTGGTCCAGCCAGTGGTGGTGGCGCCGGTGTTTTCCTCATGGGGGGCTTAAAGCTTTGTCACTGGAAGTTTAGACTGGTTCTCCAGATGCCCCCCACCAGTAATCTGGGTAACCACGAGCTCCCCAATGTCATTTTTAAAAACTTCCTTTCCTGCCCTGGCCAGTTTGGCTCAGCCGTTAGAGCGTCGGCCTGCAGTCCCGAGAGACCCAGGTTTGGTTCCCGCTAAGGGCACGTACCTCGGTTGCAGTTTGTCCTGGGCCCTGGTTGGTTGTGTGGGTGGCAACCACTCGATGTATCCCTTTCAGGTCGATGTTTCTCTCTCTCGCTCTATCCCTCCCACTCTATCTGAACAACAACAAAAAACTTCCTTTCCTACTCCAGAAGCCAGTCAGCTTCTGCTGCTGCCACTAGAACCCTCAGTGACAGGCTCATTCAGGTTTGCCTGGGCTGCCATTTCTTGAGGTCCTGGCAGCAGCAACAGCAGCTGCCATTTGTTCAGTGCCTGCACCGGTCCTAGGAACCGCGCCACGGGCTCTGCACATGCTGTCTCTGGAATTCTCACACCGCCATGAGGTAGGTGCTGTTTTTATCTCATTCATAGTGGGAGAAACAGAGCTATCACGGCATCAGAGGACTAGTGCAAAGTCTTACAACAGAGTCATGCAATGTCGTGAGAGCAGACAAGCTCTTGAAGCTAAATATGGATTCCAAGAGAGAGGGAAGCAGTCAACAGGAAAGCTCTCGCTCTGCTCTCCGCGGCGGGATGGGCAGAGCTGGGCGGCTCGTCTTGTCCTCACATCGTCTTCTGAAGAAAGGACCAGTAGCACCCTACTAAGCTCCCAGAGGGTGAAATAACTCAGAGATATCTCACTGTCCAAGGGTTTTCCCAGGACAGTGGTAGATGTTACTGGCAATGGAATGTCCTGCTACCCAAGTGTATTCTCTGAACCCACCAGGGCTGAGGGGACGGACAGTGGTGCATGGCAAACGGCGGCGCTGCAAGCCTGCATTCGGCGAGCACCGGTGCGCAGGTCTGCCTCTCCATCACGTGCTAACACAGGTAATTCTTCTCCATTCCCTTCCAGCACTTATTTGGTTTGCATAATTCCAAGGCCAATAAATCTTAGCATTAAGGCTGATGTGATGTGTGATGCAGACAGCCTAATTTAGTTGAGGTGTTTTATCAGCTCCTCTAAATTTTTTTTCTCTGGTCTACAATATTTTATACTGGGTTGATCTTTTTTTTATTCATAAGGGCTTCATTCCGACTTGTCATGGCTGAATTAACAGGGCAGTTAGTGATCACTTAGATGTGGAAGTCTACATCTCATTTATCCTCAATAGCAAAATTAATGAAGCAGCAGAAAAATAGCTTCCTGTGCTGGAACTTCTCTAGCCAACTGAGTCATCTCAAATATATTTCACTCGTGTCTTCCAGAATCGGGCTCAGCTGTAAATTCTAGGAGACAGTGTCCAACTACACCTGCCATTGACTGACAGCATAACTCACTGCTTAGAGGGGCTTGGATCAGGGTGGCCAGGGGTGTATTCTCCCACTCATTCCCACCACACACATTTAGTGAACACCTTCCACAGGCCAAACTCTGGGATATAAAACAGACTCAAGGTCATAGTCAAATGGATCATGCCACCATGTATGCCACCACTGTTGGCCAATGTAAGAAAAATATCTTAGTCAAGTATCAAGGTTGGGAGCAAGCTGGAAAGAGTATCTGCTCTATCCTTTTGCCTCTGGGAGGGTGACCCTCCCAACTAGTTTTTCTATTACATAAGGGCTCCCAAATGCTGGTGATATCACAGACAGTGACTTTGGTAGAATTTATTAATATATGTGTAGTAATACATTGGCTTCCCAGGGCTGTCATAACAACATACCATAAACAGTGGCTTGAACAACACAAATGTATTGTCTCACAGTTATCAGCACTCAAAACTGAGACTCAAGAATCATCAAGTAGCTTGGCCAGTGTGGCTCAGTGGTTAAGTGTTGATCCATGCACCAAGAGGTCGCCGGTTTGATTCCTGGTTGGGGCACATGCCCAGGTTGTGGGCCAGAACCCCAGTTGGGGGCATGTGGGAGGTGGCCAATCTCATCGATGTTTCTATCTCTCTCTCCCTCTCCCTTCCTCTCTCTCTAAAATCAATAAAGAAAAAAAATTTTTTTTAAAAAGAATCATCAAATACTCCACAAGCTGAAGAAAGTAGGTAACAATTAGGAGTTAGACATCTCCTCCAACCATCAGCCAGGCCCCAGCACTTCGCCCACTTAGGTAAGCTACCTGGTTCTGTCTACTTGCCCCGGGGAGAAACAGCAACTGGGCAGAGAAAGGGGATGGGATAGAGTACCTGCCCTCCCTCTCCAGTGTGGCAAAGATGCTTGTGGTCTTCCTCTTCCTATGATCATTTTCTGTTTCAGGGGCCTTCCTTACAGCTTAAAACATGACCACCAGTTTTTCTGAGAATCCTTTAATCACTGATCTGCCGTTGAGATTATCAGGGGTACCCTGGTGCAACCCTGGCCAACATGGTAGCCACTAGCCAAACGTGGCTATTGAGCACTTGAAATTTGGCAGCAACTCTGACTGAAAAGTGCTGTCAAGTAGAAAATATAAGTCTGGATGTTGAAGACTTAGCTGGGGGTGAGGGGGGGAATATACAATATTTCAGTAGCATTTTTAAAAATGATTACATGTTAACATGATATTTTGGACATATTATTTGGATAAACAAAATATATTAAAATTATTTTCACCTATTTTACTTAAAAATTTTTTCTTTATTGACATTAGAGAAAGAGAGGAAGGGAGAGAGAGATAGAAACATTCATGAGAGAGAACATCGATTGGTGCCTCCTACATGCCCCCCACTGGGGATTTGGCCCACAACCTGGGCATGTGCCCTGGCTGGGAATCGAACCCGCGGCCTCTTGGTGCGTGGGTCAGTGTCCAACCACTAAACCACAGGCCAGGTTCACCTATTTTACTTTTTATTGCTGTTACCGGACCACTGAAAATTATGGATATGGTTCACATTATATTTCTATTGGATGTCATTGCCCTGTAGGTTAAAAAACTAGAGGTTGGGAAGCGGGAGCCCAGCAAAACTTTACAACGCCGGGGACCACAAGGGGGCAGTACTGCAGCGCCGGCTGCCTCCGCAGGACTTCAGGGGGAAGCAGTCTGGCTCCCAACATTTTCAGTCTAAGGCTCTCCTAACTGAGCTACTTCGGCTCAGCCTTGGCTCCTAACATTTTCTAATGCTGTCTTTTAAGGGTAATTTTAAACTGCCTTTTCTAAAATTTAAATGGTCCATATTATGTTATCCCTAAGTTTAATAATAGTAATAATAATAAAATAGTAATTTCTCTAGAGCAGGAGTTCCAAACTCCTGAATTACAACACTGAAGACGGGAATGTTAAGGAAGCTGCAAGTTTCACTACCACAGCTAGGGAAGAACTAGAGGCAAAAACTATAAGCAACCCAACTGCACCATTAATAAGGGGCTGGTTGACTCAATTAAGGTACAGCTATAATGTGGAATATTTTGTATTACAATCGATGTAAATGAATACTTATCAACACGGAAAGACATTTATGCTAAACTCTATGAAAAAGGACAGCTACAGAACTGTATGCCCCATATGTATGTCAATTGTACTTAAAAATGAAAAACAAACAAACAAACATTAAAAGCATATATTTGCAAAGACGATGGGCCGAGAGGATCTTGTCCAAGAGATTAACAGTCATCCCAGGACAGATTGAGTGGCTTTCTTTATTTTTACACTGCTTTATAATTAACTTTTAAAGTTATTTTTAAGTTGTCCTACCCATTCTTCTTTTCAAATGCCACCTTCTTTCCCAAAGTGTCCTGAGCCCTGGCGACAGTGAGAACCAATGTCTTTGTTAAAATCCCGACACGTCCCCTGTACCTCGCTGGGGTTTTCACCCTGCTCCACCTCGTCCTCTAGCCCTGGGCACGTCGTCTCCCCGCCAGGCCTGCGGAGGCCTCCGCCGGGGTCCTGTGTCTATTCCGTCCCTGCGCCGCCCTGGGGCAGATCTTGCTTTACTGACCACCGCGTTACGGGAAAACTAATACAAGATCTGGCCGACGTCTCAGAGTCGGTTGGACCAAAATCCCAAGGTTACATCCCTGACACGAGTGAGCGATCAGGCACCGACGCTCTGGGGGCCGGCTGCAGACCTCGCCCCTGCGGAACAGCCGGCACGCCAGGCTCCGGAGCACCGGTCACCGCTCGGGAATCGGCCCCTCGGGCGCGCGGGGCAGGACCGATCGAGCGCTTCCGGTACACAACGCGGAGGCTGCGCGTGAAGTTTGTCCCTTCGGAGGTGCCGTCCGGGGGCGCGCCCCGCTTGTGTCACGAGAGCGAGGAGCGCTTGAGGCCAGTGCTGGAGCAGGAAGTGGTGCGCGGCGGGGTCCTGGTCGGGCTGGGCCGCTGGCAGGATGGAGGCGACTTTGGAGCAGCACTTGGAGGACACGTGAGTGGTGCGGCCTCTTCCGAGGTCGCGGCGCGGGCACTTGAGCGGGACAAAGGCGCGAACTGCGAGGCTCGGCCGGGCGGCTTGCAGACGCCGCGCGACCCCCAGGCGGCAGGTCAGGCGGCGAGCAGTTCCCGGGGCCCCAGGGACCGGTGACCCGGAATGAAAACTCCGCCGGGGCCCCGCACATTCCCTCCGCCGCGAGTCTCCGTGGCCCGAGCCCTGAGCCGCGCGTCCTGAACCCCTGGACTGGGGTGTTTCTGCGCAAGTCCAGGAAATGGGTTCACTTGGGGGAAGGATGCACCACTTGTGCAGACGAGCCCTGCCTGTAAACACACCCCCACACACACGCCCCTTCCGTGTGTAACCAGTGATTTGGTGCTTAAGAAAATGAGAGCCATCCCTTCGGTTTTTCAACGAGGAATATCCACGCAGAGTTCAGAATAAAGGCGGGCAGGGAAACACCTCCGTCCGCAGCCGCGTCCCCCAGGTTCCCCGCTCCTCCAGGAGGCAGCCGGGGCCTTGCGTGTCCGGCCGTTGTTTTGAGTTCGTGTGTTACAGCGTGCGTTTTTAACAAGGGCGACAGAATCCTAGCTGTGGCAATGTTTGTGGCCCTCCAGAGCTCCCTGACACAATCTTTCCTGTCACCAGAAAGAAACTGGCTCAACTAGTTAATTCTCTTCAGGGTGGGGTGGTGATAAGAAAGGTCCAGGAACGTTGATTTAAGCACTTACAACAAAGCCTGGTATCTAGAATGCCTGTGTGTTGTTGTAATTGTTTCATTTTCTCACATCATCTTTTCCTGGAAATAGAATGAAGAATCCATCCATTGTTGGAGTGCTGTGCACGGATTCGCAAGGACTTAACCTGGGCTGTAAGTGTCTCCCGTCTGCCCTTTGGTGGGTTGCACAGCATTTGAGGTTGACTGGGAGGCGGTGTGCTGTTATTCTGCCACGTTCTGGCTACTTTTGTGAGAATAGAGATTATCTACAAATAATGAGGTTAGAAAATTGAAACTTTTCACTTGGTACTTAGGAAGTTAGAAATGTTTCTTGCACTACACAGTTGTTTCTACTAATAGTGTTTGACTCATTTCAAAAAGTGGGTTGGGGAAGGACCTCAGAGGATGACAGCAGTTACAGTGATTGAATGTGTGCCGTCTGCTTGCACTGCCAGGTTTCATTCCCTGATCTCAGTTTTCACGTGAATCCTGCAAGATGCTATTTTTTAGTCTGAGTACACTTAATAAGTGAGTAAGCAGTAAAAATGGGGCTTCAGAGTTGGACACACCCAGGTTCAACCCCCTGCTCTTGTTTGCTGGGACCCAGAAGAACCTTTCTGAGCATCTTTTTTTTTTTTACTGGATTGTTGTTTAATAATGATAATAATTATTGAAGTGCATTTATTGAGCTTTTACTGTGTGCCAGCCAGCATTCTAAGTGCTTTACATATACTAAGTCATTTAACCCTCGTAACATGAGGTAGATAAAGAAATTAAGTGATTGCCTTGGCCGGAGTGGCTCAGTTGATTGGCGTGTTGTCAGGGCATATGCCTGGATTGCTGGTTTTATCCCCCGTTTGGGCGCTTACGCAGGCACCTGATCAATGTTTCTCACATCAGTGTTTCTCCCTTTCCCTTCTTTTCACTCTAAAACCAATAAAAACATATCCTCAGGTGAGGATTTTTGAAAAAGAGAAAGAAATTAAGTGGTTGAGCTGGGATTTGAATCTGGCTCCAAAGCCTCTTAATCACAATACTATAAGATTGTATAATATGTGTAAAACACAGCACACAACCCAGATGTAATGCTCAATAAATGGTAACAATTACAGATGAAATAAATCCAGAGAGATACATAACTAAAGCATTCAGCTGATTAATATCAGAACTAATAGCCCAGGACTCCTTACTCTTTACTGCAGGAGTGTTCAAGTTCTGAACTGTTGCTGGGAGGGTGACTGAAAGGTAATCTGTGTAACTAGGGTTTTACACACACAGTGAATTGAGAGAGAAAAGGCAAGGGGGGGGGGGCGGGGTACGCTTGCCAGGCTCACTAATGAAAATTCAAGGAAATATAAAACTAAATGAGTTCTTTTGAGAAATCTTCAAGGCCAGAAGGACTGCACTGTCTGTTCAGTTAATGTTCTATATACCAATAGTGAACCTGACAACTCTGCCATAGTAGCATGTTTGTTACCTGACAGTAGCTTACATTGCCCTTATATATGCAAATATATCATAAACTTAGTAATTACTTTTTGTACTTGCCAACCAAGATTTAGTTACTATCTACAGGCTGACGCAAACAATAAAAAGCCAATTCTGTTGCTATTGGAAAACAGCCAGCTTATTCTAGTGGGACTAATTGCTCACAGAATATCCACATATGCTGTCAAGGTGATCTTTACAGCTGAACTCCTGAGTAAAGACTTTCATATCCTTTGAGGTTGAGCTCAATAAAGGGAAATCCGATTTCCTATGAGGAATTAGTTTCAACGGGTCTCTTGCCCTTACTGCTTTTTGTCAATCTCACCTCCAAATTTCTTGTCGGTTTCAGCAAGGTTCCTATAAAATGAATTTATGACTTTCAGATAGACTTGAATTACAGCTTCCTTATATGCTTAAGAAGGTGTTTAGAGATGGTGATGGGAATGACTGAAAATTGAGTGTTATGGCTTCATTGATTTAGGAACTGATATCTGGCTTTCTTGCTGATGGAACCAGCTGAGTACAGCAGAACAAAACCATTTCATGTCAGTAAATAACCTAAGGGACCATGAACTGAACTCTCCGTGAATAATTCAATGAGAGGTACTGCTACAGCTCTGCACTGGTTTTTGGACAATCAGGCAACATGATATCTCTGTCTTCCAGGTCGTGGGACCCTGTCAGATGAGCATGCCGGGGTGATATCTGTTCTAGCCCAGCAAGCAGCTAAGCTAACCTCAGACCCCACTGATATTCCTGTGGTATGTCTAGAATCAGATAATGGGTGAGTAGAAGTCAGGAGGTCCCTTCCTTTCTTTTTTCTTCAGAAAAATCCCTGGGAAACTTGACTGGGACCTGCCCAGTGTTCCTCAGTGATTCTTCATTCAGAGGGCTTTAAGGACGTTCTTCAACCTTTGGTCACCCTTTGGACCGGAGGTGAAGATAGGTTGATCTCTGAAGCTAGAGGGCTTTTAGACCAGTGACATGTAAATGAAGAGGAAGAATTGTCATGAACTATCGGTCTATCAAGACAAAGAAAGTAGCCCTGGCCAGTTTGGCTCAGCGGTTAGAGCGTTGGCCTGCAGACCAGAGTGTCCCGGGTTCGGTTCCGTGCCTGGGTTGCAGTTTGTCTCCGGCCCCGGTTGGGGTTGTGTGGGTGGCAACCAGTTGATGCATCTCTCGTGTCGCTGTCTCTCTCTCTCTTCTTCTCTCTCCCCCTCCCACTCTGTCTGAAGATAAATGCAAAAATGTCCACAGGTAAGGATAAAAAATTTTTTAAAAAGTAAAATAGGGGAAGACCAATCAAAGAACAGTAAGTACTTCTGTAGTAATAGAAATACTAAAGATATTCCAAGTGAGTGTGCTCAGAATAACTGTGACACAAGCAGCATACAAACTATGTACAATATCATCACAGTTTTGTAAAAAGAGAAAAAATGTATACTAGTATACATACAGATAAAACCAGGAAAATATTAATAGTGGTTGTCTCTGAGTGGTAGGGTTGTAGGATTCATTTCATTTTTGTAGTTTATACTTTCTGTGCTTTCCAAATGTTTTGTTGTGTTCATGTATTGCCTTTATACACAGAAAAACAATAAATATATTTTTTGTTCCTAAACCAAACTGCATCATTAATCTCACACTGCCACCCGCCTGGACCATCTGACTGAAGATCTTCCGCTTTGCCTTTCAGGAACATTATGATCCAGAAACACGATGGCATCACAGTGGCAGTGCACAAAATGGCCTCCTGACATCTCGCAGCAGTTCCCCAGCAGCCGTCACAGGGGCTCAGCCTGTCTGTGTTAATTGTCTCACACACTGCTAACGTGTCGGTGGTTAGGCTATTCACCGTGCTTTGGGCACCTCTGATTTAATTTTAGGGTAAGTTGCTTTTGACATCAAAATGTTAGTAAGAAAGGATCTTGTTTTGCAGCAGCAGGTCCAGGTGACTTTGTACATAGAATTCTGTTATGTTCAATAAATCTGGTTGGAGGAAAGCTTGGATCTTTTCTGGATTCTTTAAACTCTTATCAAATGTTCATTTTTTCAATTATGAAATTGAAAATTATTTAAAAGGTGTCTGTGCCAAATTACTGTTTTCTTTCAGAAGTTTCCCGAAATACATATATTCTCAGAGAGGTGTCCATGGATATTTAAAACAAATTGAACAACCAGGCCATGAGAGAGAACATTGATTGGCCAACTCCTGCGCGCCCCACCTGGAGATTGGGCCCACAACCTGGGCATGTGCCCTCGCTGAGAATTGAACTGGCAGCCTCTTGGTGCATGGATCAAGGCTCAACCACTGAGCCATGCCAGCTGGGTAGAGCCAGTACTCTTAATATCCAGACCACTATGGAAGTTGGCTAGAAAACATTCAACCATTTGAAAGTATAGCCCTAGCCAGTTTGGCTCAGTGGTTGGAGCATCATCAGCCTGCAGACCAGAGAGACCTGGGTTTGGTTGCCACTGGGGGCACATACCTTGGTTGCAGTTTGTCCCTGGCCCTGGTTGGGTCGTGTGGGAGGCAGCCACTCAATGTGTCCCTTTCATGTCGATGTTTCTCTCTCTCTCTCTCTTCCTCTCTCTCCCTCCCACGCTATCTGAACAAAAAATGGAAAATGTCCTCAGGTGAGGATTAAAAAAAAGAAAGAAAGTACAGAACATTATCTTCTTTATAACCCTCATAATTCTCAACACAATGGTGCCCAAGCAGGCATGAAAGACCTCATTTTGTTGAATTTGCAACTTCTGTTGCTTTTTAGCAATTTAATATTTGACAGTATAAAAAATTTTCCTTGCCCAGCTGGTGTGGCTCAGTGGTTGAGCGTCGACCCATGCACCAAATGGTCACTGGTTCAATTCCTGGTCAGGACACATGCCTAGGTTGTGGGCCTAGTTCCCAGTGCGGGGCGTGCAGGAGGTGGCCAATTGATATTCTCTCATATCGATGTTTCTCTCTCCCTCTCCCTCTCTGAAATCAATAAAGAAATAAAAAGAAAGAAATACAAAGGGGTTTGTGGTATGAACTGGGCCTTTCCAGGTGGCGGAAGTGGCAATAACAAAGACAGGTGATAAACCAAAAGGAATATTTATGTAATACTAAGTGCTTTAGTTTGTGTGAGGTAGGAGGTGGAAAAGCAAAGATAGGGCAGCTACCTCAAAGAACTTGAATATTTGCTTTTTTTAAAAAAAGAATCCTAGGCCTTACCCTGTTAGAAGATGGGCTTGGAATAGGTGAAAGGCAAAGTTGAGCTTTAAGAGTAATCTGAGGTAGACTAAACTCATTTTTTCAAGGAGAAAAACTTCCTCTTGCTTATCTGTGTATCTCTAATTCCTAGGCCAAAGTAATGACAGCTGACCTTTAGTGAGTTTTTGCTACATGCTAGATACTGTAAAGCAATTTATAAGCCTTTAGCTCATTTAATCTTGAGAGGTATTCTCTCCATTTTAGAGAGCAAGAAATAAACTCCACAAGATAAAGTAATTAGCTCAGAATCAAAATACAGGAGACTAAAAACTAAACAAATTTGCAGAAAGGTAACAAAAGAGAATGATTAAAGGTAACTGAATCATCTAGTGTAGAAAAAAGAAAGAACTGAGTGCTTTGTAAGTCATCTTGGGAAGGGTTACAGAGAAAAGATGGCTGGGTTTCAGCTTGGATCTGTTGAAACTTCTGACAGGACATCCTTAATGCTCTTAACAACCACATTGGGCGCTCACTACCAGGCACAGTGCTAACCTCCCTTCAGAGACCTTCCATTGCATTTAGAACGAAATCCAAACTTCTTATCATGGTCTCCGAGGCCCTATATGATCCAGCCTCTGCCCACACCTTTTACCCCATCTCATGCCACCCTCTACCTACACATAACCCTCTGTCTAGACAATGGTTCTCAACCTTCCTAATGCCACGACCCTTTAATACAGTTCCTCATGTTGTGGTGACCCCAACCATAAAATTATTTTCATTGCTACTTCATAACTGTAATTTTGCTACTGTTATGAGTCACCATCAGAAATATGTGTTTTCTGACGGTATTAGGCGACTGCTGTGAAAGGGTCGTTCAACCCCCAAAGGGGTCGCGATCCATAGGTTGAGAACTGGCTAGCACATTGCCTGGCACATAGGAGGCAACTTTATTGCATGAAATGAATAAGTGAATGTACTTTCTTGTTTATTCTTCATATCTTTTGAGGTAAGGTGTAGTGCACTCAATTCTACCAATGAAACTATAAAACTTGTGCTGGAAAGATCTCAGGGCTGATTTTTAGTCTGTACAGAGCTGAAGCTCAAATAGGACTATATGGGGATTTCTGAAGACCACCCTGTAATGGTTAGTTTTATCTATCAACTGGACTGGGCCTCCGGGTATCCATATATTTGGTTCAACTATTATGGGTGTGTCTGTGCCCATGTTTCAGGATGAGATTAACATTTGAATCAGTAGCAAATTACCCAGTGTGGATGGGCCTCATCCAATCCCTTGAAGGCCATAATAGAACAAAAGGCTGAGTAAGAAAGAATTCTTTTTCTCTGCATGACCATCTTCAAGATAGGACCTGGATCCTCCAGGATCTTCTGCTTGGACTCAGACTGAGACTGAACTACACCGTCAGCTCTGACTGCAAACCTTGGACTTAGCCTCCATAATTACATGAGCCAGTTCCTTAGAGTAAATCATTCTCTCCCCGTCCACTCCACACACATAAATCTCCAAGGTTTTCTATTGGAGCCTGATCACATAGGCTCCCTCTCCCTGGAATTTGCTTAAAATTCTAGACTCCCAGAAGGAAAGGAAGTGTTTGGCATAAACCATATTTTTTGCACAAATAGTTTAGCACAGTGATCTACTCATAATTTAGGGAATGGTGGAAACCCTCAAAATCTAAATTCCCAGATGCCAGCCAAAGGGCAACCTTGTAAGCAAGCCTTTCGAAAAACAGGAGTCTCACCCTGGCCGGTTTGGCTCAGTGGTTGGAGCGTCGGCCTGCAGACCAGAGAGTCTCGGGTTTGGTTCCCTGGGACACGTACCAAAAAAAAAAAAAAGACAGGAGTCTCAGGACAGCTATGATACCTCTTTGTGCCAAGATGGAATGAGGACAGAGAAAGATTCAGCTAAAAATAAAATCTTTTAATTCTAGATGGTAGTGCTGTATTATACTCTTAAATCCCTCAATGCTAAAAATTATTCATGGGCTATATTTGATAGTGGAGTGAGGCTAATAGTGGCAATTTAGGAAACAAGCTGCAATTCTTGCTGAATAGCTTTTGCACCAAGAGGTAGAAGGTCAGAGTTAAGGGACTTATTTATGTTTACTTAAAGACCCTATAAGTTTTATTAAGTCGACTGGGTACAGATGCCAAAATGCTAATATCCCATTGGTGGCTCAAGGATTCTTTGCTTTTGATATTAGGCCCCACCTGATTAATAAGAACCATTTTTAGTGAACTAAGTACCAACAGTTGAGTCTAATAATGTGTAGTCATCCTATATATATATATATAGTCAGTCCTCACAACAAACTTGCAAAATAATAACCACATTTTACAGGTACGGAAACATACTCAGAGAGGGTAACTGGCTGAGTGTTTGCAGGCTTAAAATATGGCAAAGTTGAGATTCTAACCAAGTCTGCATTTCCCACTACACCCCACAGCTTCCTCTGTGAAAGCTGTTTCAAGGGGTTCATCTCTGAGGACGCTACCGCCCTCTAGCTTCTGACTTGTTCTGCCACGCTGCAAATCTGACCCAGCCCTCAGCATCCCATCGGAGCTCTCCATCATGTAAGGCCTAGCCTCATCTTATCCTGTGATCAGAATCAAATCCCTGCTTTAAAAATAAGTAGCACGCCCTGGCCTGTCTGGCTCAGCAGTTAGAGTGTCAGCCCTCAGACCAAAGAGCCTTGGGTTCGATTCTGGTCAAGGGCATGTACCTCAGTTGCGGTTCAGTTCCTGGCCCTGGTAGGGGTTGTGCAGGAGGCAACCAATCAATGTGTCTCTCTCACATTGATGGTTCTCTCTCTCCCTCCCTCCCACCCACTCTGTCTGAAAATAAAAGGAAAAATATCCTCAGGTGAGGATTTAAAAATAAACTAAAAATAAAATTTAAAAAAAGCAACAAGCTCCCCAAAATTAAACCAGTCCTACAAACGTTTACTAAAAAACTGGTTTCCAGCATATGTTCATAAAAACAAACAACACTCTGAAAAGTGTTCACCTTCTTTCATTGGGGGTTTTGCTTTCCACTGGGGAGGTTTATTTGGTCCTTACCACCAGCACACATAACTGTACCATCTTTCCTATCACTACACTTACAAGGTGTCTCCCAAACCACTAAGCTAGGGTTCTACTAGCACATTCATCAAAAAGTATTTAAATTTCATTTTAAGAGTCTGAGAAGCCTCTTACTTTTTAAAAAGGAGCATGCATAAATATGATCAGGTTTTCCAACTATAACAAGAAAAACACACTTTGGCCTAAAATATATTCATTTGGAACCAGGAATGTTGGTAAGGGGAGATGAAAGGCAATTGCCTGTTGACTTTTATTTTAGATTGAGGGTAGAACAGAGAGGGGAAATGGGATAAGAAGGCTGAATCATCTCAGTAATTTTCTAGGAGATTCAGCCTTAATTATTTCCAAAATGCAATAAGAAAAAAGTTTCATTGAAATTCAAGTATACACCTTCTCTGGAGGTGTTTGGTGGTAAGGTAATCAAGCACAAAAAGACAGCAATTAAAGTGGGGCCTGGTACCCAGCTGGGGTGGCTCAGTGGTTGAGCATCAATCCATGCACCAAGAGGTCGCTGGTTCGATTCCTGGACAGGGTACATGCCCAGGTTGTGGGCCTGATCCCTAGTGGGAGGCAACCAATCAGTGTTCTTTCTCATTGATATTTCTATCTCTCTCCTCCCTTCCTCTCTCTCTAAAATCAATAAAGAAAAAAAAGGGGGGCCTGGAACTCTACATTACTATCCAGATTCTTTAGTCAATACACCAACGTTCACACAAATGGCCTTAACTTCCTGAGGGTTGTCATTTATATCCCAGGAAATGGACTTCCCAACAGTGAAGAGGGGTATGTCTTCTGTAAAATAAGCATGTCCTGAGGAACAGCAGAGGCATGGCTATCAGAGTCCTGGGGCCTCATTCTTTGCCTTGAGCATAGTGTTAAAAGGTAAACTGAGGCATATTAAAAAGTTTAAGAATTTATTTGAGCAAAAATCTGTTTGAATCAGGCAGCACCAAACCCCAAGTAGTTAAGAGTGCTCCACCAATAGCAGCTTGGGGAGAGGCTTTTATAGAGAAAAGGCAGAAGCAAAGCAAGAAAAGGATCAGCTATCACTTAAGGCCTGGTTGGCTGTTTGTAATTGGTTGTCCTTGGGTTTCAATTTCTTCACCTTGAGGCATTTAAAGGCTTAGATTTGGGTTTGCTTACGTAGCCACCGCAGCGCCAGAGCCACCTCTGTGCTGACCTCCTTGTTTAATTAATTCAACAGTAGTTACCAAGAGGATTTTCTACTTGGTTTACTCTGATGCCTGCTTTCGAGCCTGTGGTGAAACACTCTACTTCCTCCATCAGGGTGGGTGGCGGGAGGACCCAGAATGATGTCAAATCCTCCTCTCCTCAGGAAGTAAAGTCCACTGGCAGGGGAGTCCACATCGGCCTTGGTGTCCTCGGCTCCCACAATGCTCACTTGTTCTCACGGTACAGCATTATAAACTACCTTGGGAAAAGAGTAATGTTAGGGAAAATTGCAGTTTATTTTTCTTCCCCGAGTGTCTCATCTGTAGAGGATTCCTTTGCTGAGCACCACGTCAGAGGTAAGATGAGAATAGAATTTGCATTGAGGTTGGTTTTCTATGTTTTGAAAGATCCGCTGGCTTCTCTCCCAGCCCAGCCACTCACCACTCAGCCATTCCATATACCCAGCCAGTGGATCCTCCTTCCAGTAAGAAACAGCCTGCTGCCGACCTGGCAGTGGGAAATAAAGGATGTTGGGCCCCTTCCTCAGGACACATACATTTCCTTTTTGCTATTGCTCTTTATACTATTTGTGAGGAGGTAGCCGATGTGACACTTGGCTCCCAAATCCTTTTGAGCACCTTCTCCTGCAGAACCACAAGACCACCCCACTCAAGAGATTTAACTTCATCTGCGACAAAGTCCACATCCAAACTTCTCCAGCTGACCTCCCAAAGTCCTTCACAACTTCTTTCTGGTCCAGGGTTCATTCAAGGAATAGTTATGAACAGTAATTGCATTTTGTGGTCATGTCTATTTAGGAACTTAATATATTTCCATTTTAGCAAGTGCTTTGTACATGAAATTCCTGAACCAGAGGCACCTGCCCTTTTTTATTTCTCTAACATCAAGAGCTCACCCAGAGGACCAGAGGAGGATGCATTTTCCCCTAGGATCTGGCTTGCAGACCTCAGGGGAGGACACCGAGGACAGTGCTATGAGCAGCCACCCCACAATCGGTGAGGTCAAGCTTTGCAGTTAACTCCTTTGAAATTCCTGCCTGCAATAAATTGAGTGGTCACGTTGCTGCCATTCAAACTGGTGGTAGAGATTTCTCTGCAGTGGCTTTGAAGTCTCTCAAATCACTGTCTATCATTAGCTTTTTTTCCCTTCTCCCATGATTCTGCCTGGATCGGGATTACAGAATAAGCAGGGGTAGGGGACATTATAGTCAGGCAGCCTGTACACGATTAGGACTTGCTTCAGGGGCACTGTCAAAGCCATGTGAGTTTGCAGTGGAAGCCAGGCAGCGGGTCTGCAGAAACGGTACAACCTGCTTGCATTTTTCAGGTTGAGACTAGAGTCTATAAACAACTTTAGAAACAGGAGGAAATCATCTATTTTTAAAGTGGTGAGCTAAAAAAAAAAAAAAAAAATTTACAGTACAAGTGGTTTTATACCACAGAGAAAAAATAAAAGTTTAGATCTGTTTCTTGCCAACCGAATCCACTACATCTTGGGTTCATCACAGGGACTTGTGTCATGCTGAGGAGGGCAAGGAAGACCCAACCTTACACCCAGGCCCCGGATGGAGGTGGGGATGGATGACTGTGCGTCACTTCCTACTGCCTGAAAGCTGGAGAACGAGATCACTTATGAAATCACTGGCATTTGAATGGAAAGGGGGCAGAGCAAGGCCAGACCCTGCCAGCAGCTGCTCAGGTCAGTGGCCCACAGTGAACCCAGAAGGTTGAAAGGCCCACCTTGAGCAGAAGCAGAAACACCGCCATCTGGTCTCCTCCTCCGCCTCCCTCCATTCCTACACCACAGAATGCTCCAGTCACCATCAACAGCTCTGCCCTGCCCACATGGCAATTAGATTTGGGGACAATCATACATTTAACCACCACTTGGAAGTGTTAAAAAGTGTTTTGGGGTGAGGTCCCCAGCTCAGCCCAGCAGACATAATTGATGGCCGCTATCTCCTTCACTCACAGGGGATGGGAATATTTCCTCCGTCCTACCTGCCATTCACTTCCCAACCCTTCCCCACCAACCACAAAGTTTGCTAGAATTGGGCTGCATGTGTACAGTCGTCTCTCGCCACTTCACGCTTCGACATTCGCGACTTCACTCTGTCGCAGTTTTTTCAAATACTATACTTGAAAAAGCCGCGACAGAGTGAGCCTTGAGGGTGGAAGCGCCAAGCGCCGGGTGGCTATGTATAAAGAAAGAATCCTGCTTCACGGAAATTCATTTATCGTGGGAGAGTCTGGAACTGATTAACTGTGATAAACAAGGGCCAACTGTATTTCTACATGTCTGGAGAGGGAGAGGATGTAGATTCTGAAACAGGAGCCTGGTTTTTCTTTCATTCATAAGCAACTGGACTAGGTACTCATTTCTTTTTTTTTTTTTATCCTCACCGGAGGACATTTTCCCATTTTTTTGTTCAGGTAGAAGAACAGAGAGAGAGAGAGAAACATCGATGCGAAAGGAACACATCGAGTGGCTGCCACCCGCACGACCGACCAGGGCCGGGGACAAACTGCAACCGAGGTACGCGCCCTTAGCAGACACCGAACCCGGGTCTCTCAGGACCGCAGGTCGACGCTCTAACCGCTGAGCCAAACTGGCCAGGGCGAGGTACTCATTTCTTAATGACCTTCTCTCTCCCTCATCCTCCGAAGCTCTTGGGGCTAAGTGACAAAGCAGTTGTCCAAATCATCAGCATGGTCATGGTAATTCTAGAATATTGGTGAATCCTATCATAGCTATGCCTCAAACAACCCTGCAGATAGGCACTAGCTCCACAGGTCCTTGTGTCCCCAAAATCACTGAACTTTGAGATGTGCTCATGCAGATACCCTTTCCCTCCTGATCCTCTCTGTCCCCCCAGCCCTACAGTAGTTCATGCCTCCTCAGCCAGGACTTGTGTAATACAACTCCCTAACCAGATGACTATTTGTGAAATGTTAGCATCATTGCCAAAGAATGTGGAATCTCAATGTTACTAGTAATCAAGCTAAGGACACCCTAAATCTGAGATCCCTTCCTGTGGCTGAGCTATCCCACTCTCCAATCACAAGCTTTGCAGGACTGGAATTGTTGAAGATCTCCATCTGGCTTTCCCATCTTTCTCCCTAATAACCACACTTATTTTACCTAGATTATCCTCTGACAATAGGAAGTTATTTATCCAATATAGTTGCTGATAAGAAAAATTGCCTCATAACCAGATTAATAAACAATGTCGCACTTTTGGGGGATTTGATGCTGCTTATAAAAGCATAAAAGATATATTAAGCCCTCAAAATGTTAACAATTAATTCCGGCTAACGGCCTGCAGTGGTGCCATGGACACTCAGATGACTGCTTCAGTGAGTGCATGTGTTACAAGTATTTTTCTACAACAGATGAGCTCCTGAAAAGGTGAGTGAAAAATCCAAGTACAAAATGTCCTCCAGGTGCTCCCTACATTTTAAAAAGGCCTCGTTCTAAGCCGACACTTTATATACTGGCAGGTCTGCTCTCAGTAGTGTCTCTCACTGCACTGGACCACGTGTTCGCTCACCACTGTATGCTCAGTACTGTAGTAAGCGCAGACCCTAGTTAATAGCCTGGAACATAGTAGGCACTTAATAAATACCTGTTGGTGGGTGGACGGACTAACTGATGAACAGACTTATGAATAAACAAGATAATACATGCTGACATTGGAGATGGGCTGGGGACTTGTATGGCATATTAAGAAACTTGGTTTTTATCTTGAGGTTCTGAGGAGCTAATAAAAAAAAAAAAAATGAAGCAGGAGAGTAATGGGATCAGATTTGCACTCCAGGAAAATAGCTCTGGCTGCAGGGTGGATAATGGATTGCTAGGGGATAGGCCTGGAAGCAGGGAGCTCCGTTGGAGCGATGTAATAATCTAGGTGGGAAACAGTCAAGTCCTAAGTTATGGAAGTACCAACAGGATGGAGAGAATACAGATCTGAGCGATATTGAGGAGGCAGACCTGTAAGACTTGGATAGTAACTGCAGTTCAGGGAAAGAGAGTCGAGAGTCCTGGGTTGTCGGCTAGGGAAACTTGGAGGATGATGTAGGCCATTCACTGAGCTGCGGGACATGGGAAGAAGCTGGGAAATCTGCGGATGGCTTGGATGATTTGATTTTTTTTTTTATCCTCACCTGAGGACATTCTTCCATTTTTTGTTCAGATAGAGCGGGAGAGGGAGAGAGAGAAACATGGATGCAAAAGGGACATTGGATGGTTTGATTTTTGAACACAGTCTGAGGGACATGTGGCATAACCAATGTGTTCAGCATAGTCTGTGCATCTGGAGCACAGGATCTACACCCTGAAATCAGAGTCATCAGTATCCACAGTAGTTTGAATGATGAAGCAGAGTAGGTCAAACCACCAGGGAGAGGGAGAAGAGCAACTAAGAGCAATTAACCCTGGGGAAGCAGATGTCTAGGGGACGGGTAGAGTTGCCCAGAGGAAACCAAGAAGCAGTCAGAAGTCAGCGTGGTCCAGAAATGCAGTGTCACCGAAGCAAAGGCAGAAATGTCTAGAAGTGATGAGCAGATGCTGCTGAGAAGTCAGGTACCACAGAAATGACAAGGGGCTCTTAGTGTAGCAACAGGGAAGTCTCTGATAACCTTGATAAGAGCCAGTAAAGTGGGGTGCTGGGATGAGTGGAAGTGGAGATAACCTAACAGACTATTTTTTTATTTTGTCTGTGAAGGTCAGGGATCTAAGGTAGAAGAAAATTTGCTATTAAACAATAACTTCTGACAAAGCCTAATACTCTATATTCAAAAGGGGCCCCTGTGGCAGACTCAGTCCCAAGACAGTATTTTAATTAAAATGATCTGGGTGAGGAAGCTCTCATGAGGCTGAGGTGTGCTCTTAACGATAAAAAGGAAATGACAGGGCTGAATCAGCCATAGGAAAATTTCTAGGGGCTTGTTTTGGGGGTGAGCCCATTGACACTGTCTGATGTGGACTCTGGGACAGGACTGTAACCCAGCCACCTTGGTCCAAAGCATGGGGTGAAATACAGATTTATCTAGTCTGCTTAACTAAGGGAAAATCCAGGCTTTTGGGAAAAGATTTTTAATATCTTTGAGTCAAAACAGAAACAAAGTTGGAAGGTTACAAGCTAAGGCAGGGAAGCAGGGTAGGTGCAAAGGCTGATCTCGGCTTTCTTGATTCCACAGTGAAAGACACAGACTCAGTTATTAGACAAGTCGTATCACTCATTGCTGTTTTGCCCAGACATCAAAGATGGACCAGAGAGGACAGGTCTGAACTGGGGGGACCAGTAGCTAGCCACATTCAGGATGCAAAGGTCAGCATCCTTTCGATGCCAGCACAGAATCCACATCCACAGAAAAAGAGGGTCTTTTCCGGAATGATGCCTCATTGTACGTTCCTTGCTTATGACAGGGCGCGATCACCAGGATGTGTATTTTGAACAGACAGAAACAAGTCTGGGTCGTTTGAGGTTCTTTCATGTTCTGCAGCCCCATTTTCCCCTATAGAAACACCTTTGGGAACATTTGGATGACAAACTGTCGGAATGAGGGCCTAATAAAATGTTTCACTTCTGAATACGTAGCCCTGGTGTCCACAGCATTGTTCACTCTAAACAATGACAAACTGGTAGCTTCCATCAAATCAAAATGAAAAAAATATATCAAGGGACCTCTTCTTCACCACCCATAACTTTTGCAACCTTGGAGCACCACCAGATTTAAATCCTTTATCCCAGACAGGAAATAATACTAGTCTAAAATACAAGTCCAGCTGGGGACGAAGGGGGAAGGTCTTATTTAGCAGGTAGGGGTTAAGGGAATGAGGTACCTAAGAGGAGGCAGGTTCTGACTCAACTGAGTGGGTAGATGGTACCAATCGAGAGAAATGAAAAGTGGGCGTGGAGTAAGAGAAAGCTTTTCATTTGGATGAGTTGACATGAGTTAGAGAGATATGGTAGGCAATTATACACTCAAGTTTGAGATTCTTAAGAAAGCAGAATGGTTACACAAGATAATAAAATCGTAGTTAATAGTTTTGAGTATTAAATGCTACTTCATGGTCCCTGAATTACGATGGCTTAACTTAATGATTTCCTGACTTTTCGATGGTGCAAAAGCAATAAAGACATGAGATATCCAATGCTTAATAAAGTAATGTTAGATGATTTTGCCCAACTGTAGGCTAATGTGTCCCGAGCACCTTTAAGGTAGGCTAAGCTATGATGTTCAGTAGGTTAGGTATATTAAATGCATTTTCAACTAAGGATATTTTCAACTTCTGATGGGTTTATTGGGTGGAACCCCAGCATAAGTTGAGGAACATGTATATTAAGTATTTTACCAGAACTTTCTCAATTCAGTCCTATGAGCTAGCTAATATTTACTTCATTTCCACTTTACAAAAGAGGAAGCTTAACTTCTGTGAAGTGGCTTGCCCAACACCACACCCCTAGTAGGAAGCAGAGCCAGGGTTCAGGCCGAGGAGGCTGACTGTGCAGAATGGTACTGTAACTACTGCACCTTGAGTATGTGGGTGGCAATGAAAACTGTAAGAGTGAGTCTGGCTGGTGTGGCTCAGTGGTTTGAGTGTTGACCCATGCACCAAGAGGTAGCCGGTTGGATTCCCAGTCAGGGCACACGCCCAGGTTGTGGGCCCAATCCCCAGTGGTGGCATGCAGGAGGCGGCCAATTGATGTTCTCTCTCATCGATGTTTCTGTCTCTCTCCCCCTCTCACTTCTCTCTCTCAAATCAATAAAGGAAAAAAAAAAAACTGTAAAAGTTAATCACTTTTTATGGGACTGATATAAAATAAGGTGAGATGACTACAAAAACACTGGAAACTTTTTATTAGATGGACAGAGAAATCAGGGAAAGGCAACTCTGGGTCTGTGATTCTGAACCAATGCATGGCCAGACTGAAAGCAGAGAAAGTGCCTTGGAAATCCAAGGCCACTGAAAAAAGGAAAGGGAAAGACAGGAAGCGCATGGAGACAGTGCGTGCAGAGTCTGACAAGTGGCTTCCCTTGGAGTTCTTCCCTCCTGACTCCTGCTCTTCACTGCCCTAGGCCAGTCAGAATTCCAGGAAACAAATGCTAGCACTCCACAGAAAGAACACCTGACCTCAGAGAAGCGTTCCTCCTAATGGATGGGAAGAAGTGATGCAAGTAAGGAAGGTTAGGTGGGACAAAAGGATGGGCACATGACCCAACCAGGTCACCAGGTGGACCCTTCTTGTTATGGCACAATATCGCTCCCTTTTGCTGTCAAAAGTTTCAATTTGGATAAATTACACTTTTTTTTATCCTCACCCGAGGACATTTTTGCATTTATCTTCAGATAGAACAAGAGGAAGAGAAACATATCAAGTGGTTGCCATCCACACAACCCCAACAAGGGCCAGGGACAAACTACAACTGAGATATGTGCCCTTAGCAGGAACCGAACCAGGGACTCTCCGGTCCGCCGGCCGACGCTCTAACCACTGAGAAAACCGGCTAGGGCCATGGTCACACTCTTTATATATCAAAGGAGGGAGTGTACTTAGCTCAAGAGCAGTTAAAGCAAAGCTAACCTAAGAACTGATAGAAACAATTCATCTTTTAGATCAGCACGCTTCTCTCACAAAGGTAACTAGACCTGACTATGTTTAAGATATGTTCTTGTAACGCAACAGTAGGGTAGTGGTTGGTCTGGATTTAGTCAATCTGGGTTCAAATCTCAGCTCCAGCATCCCCATCTTGAGCAATTTATAATCTAAACCTCAATTTCCTGATCTGTAACACAATAGTGATACACCTTGCGAATGATTCAATGAAACACTTACACGTAAAGTGCTTAGAGAAGCTCTCAGGAGATGACCACCCCCCAAAAACATAAAATGTATGAGGAATTGCCAGACAAACTGGTAAATGCTGGTGAGTAGAGGGAATCAGAACCTCAATCAGCTGTAAACTCTCTAATGATTCACTCTCCACCTGTCTTGGACTCTGGTCTGCTTTGATTTAGATCAACGTGTTTGTGTTGGGGATGATCAAGACATCTGCGATCTTCTTTGTGGTTTTTCAAGAAGAATTTGAAGGTACCTCAGAGCAAACTGGTTGGATTGGCTCTTTCATGTCATCACTCAGTTTTTCTGCAGGTATGAAGCCAGCAATAAGCTCACTGTTCAAGGAGGACCACAGAGGGTAATTCCAAGACTCATCTGTCAGTCATTCACAACAGAAGCATTGCTAAACTCAGGTTCATTATTATGTATAACTGAGAAAAGTAAAAACTCGCAGTGTTTAAGCCTCCATTTAACTTGGTAAAATGGGAAAAATTACAGAGTTCAAACAAAGAAAGTTGAAAACTCCAACTATTTAATTCCATGATTGAATTTTTCATGCCATGTTTCTTGCCAGTGCCTTAACCTAGGTTTAGTGAGCCAGCCTGCCAACTGGGAAGTCAGGCCATGGAGTTCTGATCTGATCATCTAAGCATACTCAAAACAAGTGGAGAACCAATTCCTTTTCCTTTAGTTCTATTTGGAGCTATCGTGTGCAGATTAACAAGCAAACCTTGTTCTAGGCATAGGCTACCTTATGGTTCTAGGCAAACCTTTTGTGGAGGTTTTACAATGTATTTTCAATAAGCTTCCCCTCCAAACTTGCTTATTTACAATCCTTTCCTTAAGAAACAAATGTATTCTTCTTCCAGAAAGCAAAATAGTGTGGGACTGGGAATGGTAAGAAACCCAATCCAGACATCTTTTTGAAGGACACACAATACTCCAAAATGGAGTTCCGTTTTCCTTTGGCTGCTCATTTCAACTGCATGTCAGGAGATTAAGGGATGCCAGAGCACACTCACTGTGTGCTGCTTTTCTCTCTTTTCCCAAGGTCCTCTGGTTGCTATTATCTGTGACATATATGGAGAGAAAAACACATCCATTCTTGGGGCTTTTCTTATTTCTGGTGGATATCTGATCAGCAGCTGGGCTACAAGCATTGCCTTTCTTTGTGTGACTATGGGATTTTTACTTGGTAAGTCCACTGTAAAAAAGCTATAGAAAGGGAACTAGGAACCTTCCCTTTTACTGTCCATGGGTCCAAAAGGCCTAGTTTCATGATCTGAAGTCTAGGAGAATATCTGGTCTGGTACCAAGCCACTTTATGTAAGTGATTCCAACCTATTACATTTTTTAGGTTTGGGTTCCGCTTTCTCATACCAAGCATCAATGGTGGTAATTAGCAAATACTTCAAAAAACGATTAGCACTTTCTACAGCTATTGGCCATTCAGGGATAGGACTGACATTTCTCTTTGCACCTTTTACAAAAGTCCAGGTAGATCTATATGCCTGGACAGGTGAGTCATTGTAAGTTTCTAACCTATCAACTGCAAGATTTCAAGTTGTTTTCTCCCTTTGGTGACTGGAAGTGAAGATGCTTGGGGTGAGAGTGGAAATTTCTCAAAAAAAAAAAAAAAACGCTCCTCCTCGTTGGAGAATACACAGTATAAGTAAGATAGCTTGAACTACTTGGCGCACGTATGTTGTGGGCTGTGAATCACCCTGCAGGGTCAGCGATACTCCTGGGGAGAAAAGGACACCCCTCTCCTCCCTTTCCACCACCAAAGCACTCTTTTCAAATTTTCCCTTTTAAGAAAAAAAATGCCTCCTCCATTAGACTCACTAAAACCAAAAAAAAAAAAAAAAAAAAAAAAGGAGGGAAAAAAAATGGTTAAAAAGATTATGTTCCTTTAATACTTAATCTTTTATATACTATCAGCTATAAATTTTCACAAATGAATGAAAATCATTTATTCTACAATCTTCTTTGTGCCTTAGATAAAATATCTGGATTGAATAATCTTACATTACTGGGAAAATAAGATATACACATATGTATTATGTCTATTTCCAGAGAAACAGACAGATTCACAGAGCAGTTTCCCAGCAGCCTCATGGTGAACAGGACCCGCTGAGTCCATCACAGGATGGCAGATCCCAGAAGCACCACACACATTATAGCTTTAGTCAGGCCATGCTGAAACCAAGAACTACTCAGCTTCAAAGGCAAAACTGACATCTCTCTTCTTTCAAGGAAATTAAAATGTCATGAGATCAAAGGCTGTCCCTTCTTCCAAGGCAGCTTCCAAATGATTCCCATCATCAAATTCTATATTTACTATACCTAAATTTATACCCATTACACAATGTAATTTTCTAACATTTGTAATACCTTCCCCTCCCTTATTTTTTCCTTTAGCACAAATACTACTCTGTCCTTCCACACCATCTATTTGGTGCAGCTTTCTGGTATTGTATTTAGAAAGGACACCATTTTCACAAGGATACAGCAGTATGTATGGCTAACAAGTCATCAGATTAAATACTTTTTTTTTTTTTATCCTCACCCGAGGTTATTTCTCCATTTTTTGTACAGATAGAGTGGGAGGGAGAGAGAGGAAGGGAGAGAGAGAGAGAAACATCGATGTGAAAGGGACACATCGAGTGGCTGCCACCCACACGACCAACCAGGGCGGGGGATAAACTGCAACCGAAGTACGTGCCCTTAGCGGAAACCGAACCCGGGTCTCTCCGGACCGCAGGCCGACGCTCTAACCGCTGAGCCAAACTGGCCAGGGCAGATTTAAATACTTTCAGTTAAAATCAGGAGACAAAGTAGTGTATCTCAAGGAATAATCATACTATGAGTATTTAATAGTGGGGCTCTTCTGAGCCTAAGAACACAGAGTATTGGTGAAATAGAGGTAATTTTTAACAACTTCTCAATTTCTATTTAGGTGCCCTTATGTTACTTGGCGCTATCACACTGAATTTGGTGCCTTCGAGTATGCTTTTTTTTTTTGTATCCTCACTCGAGGATATTTTTCCATTTTTTGTTCAGATAGAGCGGGAGGGAGAGAGAGGAAAAGAGAGAGAGAGAAATATCGACCTGAAGGAACACATCAAGTGGCTGCCACCCGCACGACCAACCAGGGCCGGGGACAAACTGCAACTGAGGTACATGCCCTTAGCGGAAACCGAACCCGGGTCTCTCTGTACCGCAGGCCGACGCCGCTGAGCCAAACCGGCCAGGGCCGAGTATGCTTTTGAGACCCATCCGCATCACAAACAAGAGCAATTCTGATAGGAAAGATAAAGGTAGCAGTCTGGTTGCAAGTGGTCCAGAGGCAGGGTGTGGGACAGACACACCACACTGCAATGAGTTTAATAGACTAGCAAAATCAAAATGAAGAGGTCAACAATAGGCCAAACAGGAACACTGTTCCTAATAACTAATGAAGCAAGTTCTGAGCAAAAGGTTATTTGGTGGAGCTGTAAACAAACCCTCTGTGGTATTTCTCTTTTAAAGAATCCTTTCTTCTGCATATTTACCTGGTCTCTTCTCTTCGGTCAGTGGGCATATTTTATCCCTACCTCCCACCTGGTAGCCAGAGCCAAAACACTGGGGATTGACATGATGGATGCCTCCTACCTCATTTCCTTAGCTGGTGAGAAAGCCTACTGCAGCCCTGACCGGTTTGGCTCAGCGGTTAGAGTGCCAGCCTGCAGTCCAGAGAGACTTGGGTTCAGCCCCTGCTAAGGGCATGTACCTCGGTTGCAGTTTGTCCCCGGCCCTGGTTGGGTTGTGCGGGTGGCAACCACTCAATGTGTCCTTTTCACGTCGATGTTTCTCTCTCTCTCTCCCTCCCACTCTATCTGAACAAAAAAAAAAAAAAGAAAAGGAAAAATGTTTTCGGGTGAGGATTAAAAAAAAAAAGAAAGCCTAATGCAACCTCATACTCAAACAAAGGTCTTGTTAGTTTTTCATAGATGTCTGTCTGACACAGTAGACTTTAAGTATTCATTGAAAGATTGTATTTTAAAAAGCTAGTGCTTAGTGCCAACTGCCACTCAAGAAGGCAAAATTCCCGGTAAACAGCATAGTGCAGTGGTTGAAAGGTTTGATTCTGGAGCTAGACTTTCCAGGTTCAAGTTTTTGCTCTGTATGACCTTGGGCAAGTTACATGCCTTCTCTGTGCCTTGATTTCCTCATCTGTAATATAGGGATAATAGTACCTACCCCAATAAGGTTATTAGGATTAAACAAGTAATGCATATGAGGTTTAGGATAGTGCCTGGCCCATTGTAAGTGTTCAGAAATGTTCTACTAATATTTGTAGCTAAGTATTCTTCCCCTTGAACTCATAGTAAGACATAAATATACCTGCTGAGGCTAGTCACTAATGGATTGGCTGATATTTAAAATAAATTAGAATGTAAGTTAGAATTTATTTGAGTGTAAAAATGTATGGAAATAGGATGCTTGATCAAGAACAAATATGTTTTCTCACCTGACAAAAGAAGTCTAAAAAAAATGAGAGGGGATAAAACAGAATCGGTTTGCTCTAATTATCTGGAAATTCTCAGTAGCTCAACACTGACTCTTCTCTTGTTAATTTCTTGCAAGACTATTTATCAAGCCCTTACAAAACTGAATGCACTCTGTGCCCAACTGCAAAGGTACTCTGCTTAAATCAAATAAAGCTTATGTATACACACAAAAAACATACATAGCTAAACTGCCTTTTTCACTCAAATGGCTGGTAGTATCAATTTATATCAGATTAGGGCTATACAATAGAACAAAAGAACATAACATAAAAACTCAATATGTGTCCTAGGAAACAACTGTAAAAATACAGAAATGGTAGTATTTTGTATTTTTATTTCCTTTTTGTGTGTGTATATGGTGCAATTTCTGTTTCAACCGTAGGAAGGATTTGAAGTATAAAATCACAGCTCACCTACTCTTGGTGAAAATCTCTTAGTATTTAAACATTACATTAGTTTATAACAGGATAAAGGATAAGAACGTTTTGGTATCATGAAATTAAACAAAAATGCGTTTCTTACATTTTATTCCAGTTACATCGTAGCTCAAATGTTCAAAATATGATTTCCTATTTCTAGACTTTCCACATACTTTCAAATTAAGCATAATAACCTTTGGAGGAGGAATTATCGAAAGCTCATATGCAATTATAAGAAAGAATCCCAACATCTTTTTTTTTTTCAAACATACTTTATTATGTTAAATGATTTCCCTATGACTTCCCTAGGGCAATGGCCTGAGGGCCTAATAGTTTTTAAAGAAATCACACTTTCTCACCTGCAAAACCTCTTTGAGGAAGGTTTCCTGAGCCTGAAGTCCTCTGTAAGCAGGGATTCCCAGCTTGGTGGTATAAACTTTCTGGTATGTCATTAGATGTGTCTGGAATACTTAAATAAATGATATATCTATTGGTAGACAAATGAAACCACCTTTTTCTCCAACGTTCCAGCCTCAGGATAAAGCCATATTACTTAGGAAAAGAAGCCTTAGGTATTTACATGTATTACAGGAGCTGAGAAAATGGAATTAGGATTTCATAAGACCTTTTCAAAATTGTTCCAGGCATCACTGAGGCTGTCAGCCTGATCCTCTCTGGATGGATTGCTGATCAAAACTGGACCAAAAAGTATCAGTACCTCAAGTCTTACCAGGTCCTCTGCGGCATCACCAATCTGCTCGCTCCTTTAGCCACATTCCCACTACTTCTGACCTACACTATCTTCTTTGCCATGTTCTCTGGTGGTTAACTGGCATTGGTACTTCCTGTACTGGTGAGTAGACACATTCATTAACATCGTTACACCATTTAGCAAAAGCAAGGATTAATAATAATCTTGCCCAAAGAGAATCCATAGCCCTGGCTGGTTTGGCTCAATGGTTAGAGCATCGGCCCGTGGACCAGAGTCCCGAGTTCAGTTCCCGCTAAGGGCACGTACCTTGGTTGCAGTTTGTCCCCGGTCCTGGTTGGGGTTGTGTGGGTGGCAACCAGTTGATGTGTCTCTCTCACATCGATGTTTCTCTCTCTCTTCCCCCCTCTCTCCCTCCCACTCTATCTGAAGATAAATGCAAAAAATGTCCTCAGGTGAGGATAAAAAAAAAGAGAGAATACATATTTTATATTAATTTTATAATTAAAAAAGATCACAGCCAAGGCCCAGAAACCCTGTAGCTATATCCTGGTCCAGTTATTCATCTTACCTTGGGGGTTGGAATGATGGGAGGACTGTCCACATGAACAGGCAAGAAATGAAAACTTATGGGACCGAAGGATTCCATTTTCCTTATCAGTTTCCCAGGTTAGGCTTCTGTTCACTTCTTCTGTTTAGTTCCAGAAACTTCCTTGGCTCCTTCTAAGACACAATATTGAAGAGTTCCTGAGAGAAAAAGGGCCTTGCTGACCAAGGCGGCTTGTCTCTTGAGAGTTCATTGTATTTCAATAGGGACATTTAAAAAAAAACTCTTCTCCATTTTACCCCCAACTGACTGGACCCAAATGGCACTGACATACCAATTTCTGGGTTCTTCTCAGCACTAGGTCCCCCGTGTGCTGGAACACAATCCCTGGGAAAATTCTGGCTTCACAGTGATACTAGTGTCAGTGCTGCAGGTCATATGAGGCTCAGGCAAAAGCCAACCTTTCTAAAGTTGAAATCAACTCCTCGTAATATCTGATTTCTTATAAACCAACGGTCAGTACTCAGCCTGAGGTGGATTCAAGAAAACCACTGTCAGCTAGATTGTAAATAATATTTTCTAACAGAGCTAAGAGCTGTGTGGTTCAGGGGAAAAAAGTAACCCCTGAACCACCAAAAAACTTAAGGCCACCCAAATCACCCAGAAGTCAATGGTTCACAGTTTGAGATGACATAAACAGTATTTGTCCCTTGGTAGGCATAGGTCTCCACAGAATTTCACCCTCAATCTGGCTAACACTGAATTCTAATCTCTACAGGTTGATCTATCTGGAAATTGTATAGTACACAGATTTATGAGACTTGCCAATTTCTTTGTTTGGGATAGCTGTCCTTTCTGGGCCACCTATAGCAAGTAACAGCTTAGCCATATTCTGAGCAAATGAAAGAAAATGATGAACCGAGAAATATGTAATGACAATATCTATCAAGTTAGAAGAAATGGGTATCTGTGCTGTCCCTGTACCGACCCTCACACTCCAACATCAGTCCAGGAGAATCTGAGGGTTAAGTCAACAGACATGCATTAAGTAGGTTCTTATCCTCGTGGGCATCTTAGAGCAGGGACTGTTTACTTGTCTGGGAAGACAATATAGTTTTATTGGCTTTTCAAAGATCTATGATGCTTAAAAGAGAAAGAACCACTATCCTTACCTAAGCAGGAGTCACTTTTATTTAGCTTGAAACTGCAAGCCTGACCTCCTCTGCTCTTAGCCGTGTCCAGGGCTTCTCAGCATCTCCGATTCTCAGAGAGGGACGGAGGCCCTTCACTTTCTATCTGTACCAAAGGTGGTAGGATGCTTGGCCTAAAGGCCAGAATCTCTGTGGAGAGGATATATGGTTATCTGGTGAAAGTTAAATAGAAGTAAAGTAAAAACTGGGAGAGTTCTGATCATGTAAGTTAGCTTTAAGACTGAAGTGTGTTGTTTTTCACTCACTTTTTACCTGACTGGACATTTAATCCAAGACTTAAAAGACTACTCACACAGAAACATTTTAGGGAATGACTTAAACTTTGGTATCTTCTATACTATAATTGTCAATATATTTGAATTACAAATTACTACAGCATTTCCAACCACCCACAAAAATTAGACCTAAAACTTACATTTGCCTCCTTTAGTCCTAAAGGGAGACAAAAAAAAGATCCAATCTTGCCCACTATTGTTTTTTAAAAACTAAGTTATATAGTATTAGGTTTGCACCTCTATAAACTTAAGACTTAGAAAAGGCAAATATCAAAAGAAAATGTTAAAAAAAAAAAAAAAGTCTAATAACAAAGACTATTACTGGAAGGGAAAAAATGCACCTTTCTCTGAGGATTAGCTTAGGTGTACCTATTCTAAAAGAAAATTTTATACAAATATATAACCAAATCCTTATTTGCACGAATGAACACACATCTTCCCATGTTGTCTAACTCAGTCTATACCTCATACCTGGCGAGCAGGCTAGAATTTAAGACTCAAGCCAGAATTGTTCTACAGGGACTTGTAAAAGGAGACCGAACACCAGAAATGCCTGGAGAACTACTTTATGGCCAGTGCCCAGGTCAGTGAGGCACAGAAAACAGTGTCCAAGTACAGTTTGCCGATACATTTCTTTCCATCTTGATCCTTGATCCTTCTTCATTGGCTGTCATCCAATGATGCCCTGGAACTTTGCAGCCTATTAGGCCAAAGGTATAGGGAGATAACACAACCAGTGCACAGAATATCTCCTTCAAATGAAAAAGGCAAGTAACAACCACATGTTTAGAGATTTTATGTTCTGGTTTTTGTATACATCTTAAAATAAAATATTCAAAGAGTTCAGTATATTAGAAGACACAGCAAGTTTTGTGAGGATCACTACCTGAAAAGGAAAAGTAGTAGATGTGTGGTGGGTCTTGAAATCAATTTGTTGGGTTGTGAGCTTTTTATTTATCTTTTAATGAAAAAGGCAGACTACAACAGAGCAGATTAGAAAACAGTGCATCACTTTATTGTGAAACTCTTATTTTACACACACACACACCTATGTATTTTAAGTCTACGTAAGGTACATTTCTTATTGTCAATGAGTCAAAAAAAAAAAAAAAATTTACGAGACTTTTGTTAACCAAAGCACAATACCCTGGGCTCTGTATGTGGAGGGAAAGGAAGCTCATGACAGAATTACCTGCCAATTCTGAGTATATTATTTAGGCAACTATAAATTTTATAAGTTCTAAAAAAAAGTCAAAGGATGTGTTAAGGCAGCTGCTGAAAGCTTATGTACAGAACTTTTTTCTTTTTTTTTTGGTACATGCCCTAGCGGAAACCGAACCCGGGACTCTCTGGTCTGCAGGCCGATGCTCCAACCACTGAGCCAAACCAGCCAGGGCTTATGTACAGAAGTTTTAGTATGAGAGTTGCTCAGAGTATCTTAAACAAGGTGATGATAATATCTCTATACCATGAGCTCTCACTGACTGCAGTGTTGTACTGCACACTTGGTGGAAGGGAGAAACTTCAGGAAAGTCTTTGCCTCTGTAAACTAATTTCTCTGTGAAATGACAGGACTTGACAAAGGCCATTAGAGTGTATTCCTAAATCTGACTCTAGCAGCAACTGCCAAAGAAATGTCAGAAATGCTGACGTACAGATTCACTCAGTTCTCAACAGTTCCATTACTGTCTTTAACTTTATATAAATCAACAGGTTTACTATTTGCAAAATATTAACTTCTCAACAAAAATCTAGATTGTATGAGATTCTCATGTTTTTAAACTTACCTGTTAGCTCTGTTATTACCAAATTGCAAAAGGTGTAATTCCTATGAAAGATTACAGGCATTTTAAATTAGGAGTCTAGCAAATAGTAAAACTTTCCACAGTAATCCTCAAACACTAGTTAATAATGGTAACATCGGTTACCTAAACAGTATTTTTCTCCTTCCTGTATGGAAACGAAAAAGAAAAATAAGTTAGTCCTATACAGCACATTTGAATAAAACAAACAAATGGGGGAAAGCATAAAAACCCAAAGGAATCATAACTTAGTTTCTTAAAAATATACTTTTTTTCTTTTAAAAAAATGTAAATACAGCATGTGGGCAAGAAAATTATTTATACACCTTTAAAAACCATGATTATGGTAATATAGTAGCAACAAAATTCTTTATCACACCTTTGCTGAAACTCTCTGACCAGGGAATGAAATGGAGAGAAGTTTAAAATTACTCCCCAACAACACACACCTTTCCCTCCACAAGCCACGGCTATGCCCACTACACCCCACGGCCCACCCCTCCAGTTCCTCTGCAACACTTAGTGACAAATTCATAGTTAATAATATGGCCTGCTTCAGACTAGGTCAGCTTGAGGGTTGTTCTGACCTAGGCTGATCAGTAGATTTAAGTGTAGGCCAAATGTCATCACTTATCCAAACCCAACAGCTGGTTTGTTTTGTTTTTGTTTTTGTTTTTTGGTGGTAGCTGACAACCAGATCTACCTGTTGGCATCAAGATGGAAGCCCTGGAAGGTTGTGGAAAAGAAAAATATTGCTATTTTAAAATATTATTGTATTTCTAGAAGACTCTGTTAACAACAGTGAACCTGCTAGAAATTAATATAAATACAAAAATAGTGCACTGGGCAAAAAAGCAACTATATAATGAATCATATTCTCCAACATACAAGTCAGATGTAAGCTACTTATGTGAAATTCCTAATCTTCTATCCAAAGACATTTGGCATGTGAGCTCAAAATACAAAAGGCTGCCCTGACTGGTTTGGCTCAGCAATTAGAGCATCGGCCCACGGACTGAAGAGTTGCGGGTTTGATTCCAGTCAAGGGCACTACCTCAATTGTGGTTCAGTCCCTGGCTCTGGTTGGGGTTGTTTGGGAGGCAGCAAATCAATGTGTATCTCTCACATCAATGTCAATGTGTGTCTCTCTCTCCCCCCCTCCCTCCCTCCCTCCCACTCTGTCTGAAAATAAATGGAAAAATATCCTTAGGCGAGAATTAAAAAGAAAAACAAACACAAAAGGCTCAGTTTCAGGTAAAAATAAAACCAAGGGTCTATATTAGCTGACTATAAAACTGAATGTAGTTCCCTTCTCCTCCACATAACCCCCATTCCCAACCGATGACTGTATATAATATGCTCATATATATTTAAATCAATCACACTTATCTTCTGAAAACTCCCTTAAAACACAATTATTTGATAACTCAGTATCCATTCACTAGTCACCAAGAACCTTATGAGCCCAGCTCTGTTAGCTGCTACGTGGGACACAGAGAAGACACGGTTGCTCTCTTACTGTTCCTCCATAGCTTACTGAGCACCAGCACAGCGCTCACTCAGCCACACACACTGACAGGACTTAATACTGAAAACAGCAGTCTGCAAGCTCTAAAACAGAATGAACAGAATGGGCATTCTTCTTCTTCCACTTCATTAATAGAAATTTTAGGTAAGCCATTGTAACCTACGTCTCCATTTTCTTACCTTAAATGAAGACATTCTAAGCTGTGGTATAGAAAGAATGACCTTAAGTTATACTAAAGCTGCACTCAACCCAGCAGGTACTTCACAAAAGTGATTTTTTTCCGACAACTCAAGGAAAGCCATTTCTAATACAAAATAATTATAAGTGGATTGTATGCTAGCACAAGTTCAAGTTAACCAGTTCCTAAAGGAGTACATCTCTCTCTTGTTATTATTTGCCAACCTCACACCTCATCAAAAATACCATGGATGCCCTGGCCAGTTTGGCTCAGCGGTTGGAGCACTGACCTGTGGTCCAGAGAGATCCGGGTTCGGTTCCTGCTAGGGGCATGTACCTCGGTTGCAGTTTGTCCCCGGCCCTGGTTGCGTTGTGCAGGTGGCAGCCACTCGATGTGTCCCTTTCACATCGATGTTTCTCCTTCTCTTCCTCTCTTTCCCTCCCACTCTATCTGAACAAAAAAATGGAAAAATGTCCTCAGGTGAGGATAAAGAAAGAAAAAAAAAACAAGGAGTGAGACTGGTAATTCTGCACTAACTCTTTATCTGTGTTTTATAAGAAAGGACACTGGCTAGATGGAAATTCATCCATCTAAATTTGCCTCTGTCCTACTAACATAGCTAAGTTCATCTCCTCATGAAATGATAGGTCATTTCCTACCTCTCTTCCACCCTCACTTTAGATACAATATTAAAACATTTTTTTTCTTTATTGATGTTAGAGAGGAAGGGAGAGGGAGAGAGAGAGAGAAACACCGATGACAAAGAACACTGACTGGCCACCTCCTGCCTGCCCCATACTGGGGATCAGGCCCACAACCTGGGCATGTGCCCTGACTGGGAATCGAACAGGAGACCTCTTGGTGCATGGGTCAACGCTCAACCACTGAGCCATACAAGCCAGGCTAGATACAATATTAAACAAATATTCCACCCAGTTCTCATTCCACCTGTTATCGACCACACCATCTACATTTATCAGTCATCTTGGCTTATCAGTTGGGAATTTCTCTATGGCCTTAAATTGTATTTGGAAAATAAACAAACAAAACAACTCAACCTTTTGGTCTGTTATAAATGCCTTTGGAGGGTGGGAGTATGTGGGGGACAAGTAAGAAAGCAAAATCCTGTCCTCTAAATCTCGAGGGATGTATTATACCCTGAAGAGGCAAAGGAATATGTACATCATTTCTTTATGCAGTGACTTCCCCCACAAACCACAATGCCACACAGAATTTTATTTTGATTCAGTATTTCTAGAACTGATGAATCCCTACAGAAATATCAAAAATAAGTTCCAAATACTAAAAGAATCCTACTTCGTGAAAATTCATTTATCACAGTCGAGCCTGGAATTGATTAACCGTGATAAATGAGGGCCGACTGTAGCTCTTTAGTATGTTTAGAAAGGGGGGGGGGGGGTGTTAATCCTTCCCTTGCAAATATATTCCTTTGCAAGGCCAAGGAATCAAGCTTCAAAATACTAACACAGACCACAATCCTTTTAGTAAAACCCACAGCACAGAGCCAAGTATGCCCAGTAAATCTTACTGCAAGTGTCTATCATGGGGCCTTTAGAGAGTTCCGCTCTTAAAAGGCACCGAGGTTGAAATTTGCTAAACCACATCTCCCAAGATTATCGAAAATATCTGTACATATTTTCCCATCATGGCACATACAGAAAATATTTGTATAGCACACCCAAAGTAAAACATGGCTGAGCGCTCTGGTGACCCCAGGGGGATGAGAGATCACTGTCTCTGTACACCTTGGAAGCTTGCGCCTGTACTGTAGCCCATCAGCTGCAAGTTCTGGCTCAACACCAGCTAGTTACTTACAGAATTCTCAACTACTGTCTTTAATTAGCGGCAAGGAATTTTGGAATTAAGGGCCTTTTGAGTGTTATTTCAAGTTTTCACAAGATGACCAATAATGCACTTAATAGTACTAATAAAAAGAATTCATAACTGAGCTCAATCAAGGTCTGAGATATTACAGGTATGAATACTTTTTATTATTTATTCATTCATTTGGTTAATCCTCACCTGAGGATGTTTTCTCATTGATTTTTAGAGTGGAAGGGGGGGGGGGGAGAGAGACAGAGAGAGAGAGAGAGAGACAGACAGAGAGAGAGAGAGAGAGAGGGAGGGAGGGAGGGAGAGGAGAAACATTGATGTGAGAGAGACACATCAACTGGGCCTGGGAATCAAACCTGCAACCCAGGCATGTGCCCTTGATTGGGAATTGAGCATGCAACCAAAGGCAGTCTGCAGGCTGACACTCTAATCACTGAGCCAAACCAGCCAGGGCAATATGAATACTTTTTAGACAGGATGTTAAACTCATCTTTAAACATGTATGGCTTAACCCACAAAATGATGCTGAATAGTTTTAAAATGTTGATATTTTATCAAGTGAATTTAGAATCCTAGATTACATATCAAATTTGACAGATTATTTTAATCCCTTGTGTGTTGACTGTAAGAAAACTGTTTTGCAATACTACTGAAAGAAGCTGAGCCCTATCTTATTAGTTGTTTTTAAATTATCACAGAAGCCCGGCTGGTGTGGCTCAGTGGTTGAGTGTCTACCCATGCACCAAGAAGTTGCCGGTTTGATTTCAGGTCGGGGAATATGCCTAGGTTGTGGGCCAGATCCCCCAGTGAGGGGCATGCAGGAGATGGCCAACCGATGTTCTCTCTTATCGATGTTTCTATCTCTCTCTCCCTCTCCCTTTCTCTCTCTTTAAAATCAACAAAGAAAAATAAATAAATAAATAAATAAATAAATAAATAAATAAATAATTAATTAATTAATTACAGGAAACATTATTAGACATTCTTGCCCAAATCATGGGTTATAGCTATAGATATAAGGAAGTAATCTGAAGAACAATTTTTTTGTGCCTAAGAATCAACTAGGTGCCATCCAGGGTGAAGTACACTTGAGGGGAACCAACAAATCTACACGATTAACATGCATCTCAGGTGTCCAATGCAGGCAGTCTGGACACACCAAGGAAATGCTCACAGGGCACTGCAGCTTAGGAAGGTGCAAGCGTACCTCCCAGTGTTGGCTACATACAAGAACACCAGCATGGAGTGATACTCAGATGTACACATACTTTCCTGAATTGTGGCTGATACCTAGTCATGACTTCCTGTGCCATTCACAGTGCTTTTACTATGACCACAAAGTAACCCAGTCTTTTGAATGTCAACTTATGCGTGTGTTTCCATTTAAAACAGTTAAAATACAGTGGCTTTTAAACTACCTATAATAATTTATTTAAAAAATATATACTCAAAAGCATTAAACTATTTAGGGTTAAAAGCATGCTATTATACAGCTTTTTCATACAGTTATCAAAAAAGCACAGAGATCTGATAAAATCAAACCAAATATACAAGGTTCTTTTAAATTTTCAGTGGTGAGGAAAGGCTAATTATTCCAACCAAATAGAGCAGATATTTCAAATATTAACAAAGTTCTGAATTTAACTTACCTAGAAGCCACTTAAAGCTAAGCCTGATTATGACAGCTAATATTTTCCGACCCCTTGGTGCATGGGTCGACGCTCAACCACTGAGTCACACTGGCCGGGCTTGTCATCAGACAATTGATCAACAACACAATATAGTCCTGCATCCTACGTTTCACCTCCTATTTGCTGTTACAAATGGACTCCTAAAACTAAATACTCAACTGTACATTATAATCCTATCAAATGGCAATGGGTCTTAAGAGGTAGGATAAAAATATATACTAATATCTCGATTATCAAGTATAAATAGGAGAAACAGATGTAAAACAAATTACTTCATTAAATTTTGCATGGAAATACATGGAAACAGTTCTAGAATATTCTAAGTGACACCCTACCCTGGTAAGAAAATATATTAAATATATTTTAATCTTTAATGTTTCTAAAGCAGCATTCGGACTTTAAATGTGTGCATGTGGGTGAAATGAAAGGCTTATAAGCAGTTTTCTCTTAAACTGTTTTAGGCCCTCTGGGATTTCTTAAAAACAACAACCCATCTTCATTATTTTTTAGCTGTGCTCTCTTGACCTTTTAGCACTATTTATCTCCACACCTAAGAATTTCTAGTCTTTTCCCATAGTATTATTTTTAATACTGCTGTCTCATAACTTATAGGTTATGTGTATACTAGTAAATTTGGTGTAGTGGTGGGACTAAGTAAGGCAAGAATGACAAGGGATAAAAGGGGGTGCTGCTGCTTACGACATTCCCTCCTTTCTAGAAATTTCTAGAGGAGTTTTGAGAGATTGGTAACCTATTTCTCAGGTATATAATGGTCAGTGACAATCAACATAATACAAGGACTTGTCCCAGTCAGTTTCACTCCACTCTTTCTTAACTCCAAGAAACATTTGAGGTCACTGATCAAACAAGGAGTCAATAAGTAAAAAGCAACTTCAAGTTAGCTGAATTTAAGAGGCTACAAAACATTCCATTCATTCAATAAAGAACAAGAAACATAAAGCTAATGAAACAACAAATAAAAAAAATTCAGTATCAGAGCCAAATAAGAGAACAAAGAGAACAGGAGATACTCTATACTTCCAGTGAGAAATCATGTTCCAAGATATAAACAAAAATCAAAAGACACAATGTAAGCTCCATAAGGTCAGACACATTCCCATCTATTTTGTTCATGGGTATACCCCAGTACCTGGAACTGTGCCAACATATAGCACCAAAATTTTTTGAATGAGTGATCAGAATAATAACTTTACCTTTCTAAGTTTTGGGGGGAGGGGGTTAAATATAAAAGTCATAATGTAAGCTTGCATCTACATATATAATATGCATATAATCTCTAAAAAAGGGGCTGTCAAGTGTGGTTAGTGGGCCCCTCAGAAGGTCTTGAGACCTTTTTTTTTTTTAAATGACTTTATTTGAACTAATACATTGCTAGCAGATTACATCATTTTTCAGAGTTAGAGTAACATTATGATCTTGAAAACTATAGCAAACAGCTCGACAGAGCAAGAGTACATATATTTTTATTTTTTAGTGAGTTGAGACCTTTTTAGGAAGTATGTGAGGTCAAAATTATTTTCATACCAATACAGAGATGTTATTTTAGCCTTTTTCACAGGGTTGACTTTTGCAACAGTGTTTAAATACTGGTACTTTGCAAATATTCTTTGCCACCACAGTTTTCTTAAAAAAGTGTTTCACTTTAAGTTCTAGTATGTGCCTTTAGCCAAATGATTTTGAGGACCCCTCCCCATTCTTGCTTTGAAAGAGTATTTCAGGAAGAAGTATAGTCATCATTTAACTCACTTGACCAAATAGTTCCTTTTCATATACTATCAGGGCATCCAAATCTTCCCTTCATAGCCTTTATTACTGTGTAATTTATGTGGTTAACACCTAACCTTCCACTACACTGTACAGTGTGTGAGGTCAGGGACCATGTCTGTTCTGGTTCATTAATGTATCCTCAACCCATAAGCACACTGCTGGGAACACAGTAAATACTCAAACATTTGTTCAGTGAAGGAAAAAAGAAAATCAGTTCTCTCATTTTCTTTCTTTGGAAAACATTAGAAATTCACAGTTATTTTCTTTGTAAGAATGGTGGCATTCCAATAAGATTCACCATAAAATGAAATGGCAGGCATCCCAAATTTTCTCCAGCTTCCATGCTAAGATCAGAGATGAGTTCTGGGTCCACAATGACTTTTTCTCCACGGGTCAAGTCCCTAACTCAGGTGGAACTGATAGAAGTAACTCCCATCAGTAGAAAATAAGACAAAGTAAGGAGCTGGACTAACTTTCTAATGGGTCACAATGCAGACTGGTAAGTACCTGAGGCCTCTTTCTTCGAGGACAGTTCATAGGTGAGGGTGACTAATGGGAAGGTTTGGCTAATGGAAACCTTTCCTTCCTTCCAGGCTGGTTATATGATTACACTCAGACCTACAATGGCTCCTTCTACTTCTCTGGCACATGCTATCTCCTCTCTTCAGTTTCCCTTTTCTTTGTACCACTGGCTGAGAGATGGAAAAGCAGAGTCGGACCAGAAGGAGAGAGGACTACAATCAAGTGTGAGCTTAACAAAAGAAAGACTAAACTACTAAATCACTGGAAACAAAAGAAAACCTATAGGAATGTCACCAGAAACAAAAGCTCAGAACAGTTTCCTCACTTGTAAAATAAGAAGGGAAACCAAATAGTTTTTAAGGTTCCCTTTTCTTTAGCATTCTGAAGAACGTCTAACTGGTGGTAAGAAAGGGGTATCAGCAATTGAAATCATGCCATTTGTTAGTACTTAATAGGTAACACTTTTAATCAGTTAAAACAGCTATCTTAGATATTAAATAAAAATCAGAATGTACTGTAGTAATAAATTAACCCAATTTTCTTGTGCCATGGTAATTCAAACAATAAGATATGTGAAGACAGAAAACTATTTTCCTTAATTTAAAAAAGTATTATATATATCCACTGACTGACTAGAACACTGCAATCTGAATGAATATTAAATATTATACACACTTCCCAAAAAGTTCATCTTTGCTTATTGAGAAGTATTCTTTATTTTCTATGCATTATTTTGTTTCTTAAATTTCCTATGTAATTAAAAAAATAAGAATTGCTCAGAAAATATCCTTTATTTCAAGATAATTTGAATAGTATTCCTGTCTACCCAAACAACACTACTTTTTCACTACATCTAATTATCTGAAATATTCTAGCTAAATATCTAGATATGTCTTTAGTACTATAAGTTTTATATGAAAGTTGAATAGGTGGCTTTTAATAGGAGCTATCCTTAAACTAAAGGATATTTTTTAAATATGAAATAGTTATATTATCTAATGTCACTTAGACTAAGAAATTACATGTCAATAGAAAGCCTTTCATTATTTGGTAATTTTAAGAAGGAAAAAACACCTCGAGTTTTCTGTTAAAATCAACCTCATTTAGCATCTCCTTTAGCTTGCTCCTTTAAACTACTATAGTTGTAATTGTTATTATTATTACATTCGTCCATTCTTTTATGTTTTAAAATAGCTATTGATTCCCTATAGAGAAAAATCCTAAACTGAAAGCCTGGTTTTAGCTCCAAAGTGCCATAGCTTCTCACTCCCTGTGGATGCCTTGGTTCCAGGTTTGCCACCAGCTACAACCCCAAAGACTGGTTTTCCCTCACCAGGCTCTCACCTGTTCTCTCCAACCTGATTCACTCAAAGGCCACCTCCTCTAGCATTAAGGCATTTTCTCATCTGGAACCCCATCTAACTTTTAACAGAGTATTATGTGAGCTTACATGTCAACCATCTCTATCAGTCTGCAAGATCAACAAGATGGGTGTTTTATTCATTTTTGCATTCCCCAAGGCCCAGTATAAACTTTGAATCAAATTAATCCAGGTTTGAAATCTCAGTTACCTTAAAAAAATAGTTGATCCTACTTAAAATCTAAAGGGTTGAAGACTTCCAGTCAAGATGGCAGCGAAGGTAAACGGTTATGGCCTCCTCCCACAACCACATCAAAATTACAATTAAACTACAGAACAACCAGCACTCAGAACTGCCTGAAATTCAGGTGAATGGAAGTCCTACAACTACGAAATTAAAGCCGTGCATCGAGACAGGTAGAAGGGGCGAAGGCGTGGACTGGCTGGTCCCACACCCAAGTACGTGTGGCAGATAAAAATCAGAAGGGAGCCCTGGTTGGTTTTGCTCAGTGGTTAAAGCGTTGGCCTGCAGACCAGAGAGTTCCGGGTTTGGTTCCCGCTAAGGGCACGTATCTCGGTTGCAGTTTGTCCCCGGCCCCGGCTGGGGTTGTGTGGGTGGGAACCAGTCGATGTGTCTCTCTCACATCAATGTTTCTCTCTCTCTCCCTACTGCTCTATCTGAAGATAAATGCAAAAATGTACTCAGGTGAGGATTAAAAAAAGAGAAAATCAGGAGGGATATCTCGGCTGTGAAGGTCCTCCCTGAGAAGTGAGAGGTCCGGGTCCCACACCAGGCCCCCAATTCGGGGTTCCAGTGCCAGAAAGAGAAGTCCCCATGACTTCTGGCTATAAAAACCAATGAGAACTGAGGCTGAGGGAGGCTGAGGCTGCTGAAGCTCCAGGCAGTTTCTCTTAAAGGGCCCATGCACAGACTTACTGGGATTTGTACCCTCTAGGCTCCAGCATGGGGGAGGCAGCTTGAAAGGCACCAGAGCCATACAGTGAAGAACTGAGTTGTCTGGCATCTGGGCGAGAGCTGGAGGGGCAGGTTTCTTCAGGACAGACGTGCTGGCAGAGGCTGTTAATCCTTTGGTGAGCCTTTCCCCAGAAAGAAAGATGGCCACCATAACTGGGATTCCAGCAACCTGGCTCACACAGGTTGCCCCACCCTGGGGGTTCCCTGAGGCCCTGCCCCACCCAACTTTCAGGCCCACCCACGCTGTTTCCAATGGCATTACCATAGGATTGGCCTGTCTTGGATGCTGCTTCAGAGTTTCCTAAAATCTCTCAAACAAGCAGCATCTGGTCTCAGAGAGCCCCATACCTCTCGGTAAGTGGCCCCAGGCCTGGCACTAGAAGCGGCCAGGCTTGGTCCACAAATTGGCTTTTACTGGGCACCTCCAAACCCAGCACAAGAAGCAGCCATCTGCAGATCACTTTCTGGCTTATGCCTGGTGGCCCCAGGTAGAACATAGGCAGGGGCTGACTTTGCCCCAGAACCAGCACACCCAGTGGACAGCTTCAAACCACGTTGAAGCACCACCATCTAACCACTTCCACAAGTGACACACTCAATGAGGGGGGACTCAGTGGGTACCAGAGTCCTGCTGAAGTAAGTCTTGCTCTGTGTGGTGGGCCCCTCCACAGCTGATCCTCCAAGGTAGAGGCCAGAGGTCAGTGGGCACAGGCAGTCCTTGCAGCTGATCAGCCCGAGTAAATCCCCCCCACATTGACGTGCCAACAGCAATCAAGACTCAATTACTACAAAAGGGTGTACAGTCCACACTAGGGGTGCACCTTGAGGGCGCAGCTAAGGTGATCAGGAAGGCCGTGCCACTGGATCCTACAGGACACTTACAACAATAGGCCACCCTATGAAGCCTAGAAGACATAAAACAACTCTACTTAATACATAGAAACAAACACAGGGAAGCAGCCAAAATGAGGTGACAAAGAAACCTGTCCCAAATGAAAGAAAAGAACAAAACTCCAGGAAAATAACTAAACAAAATGGAGATAAGCAATCAAGCAGATGCAGAGTTCAAAACACTGGCTATAGATATGCTCTAGGAACTTAGTGAGAACTTCCTTAAAGGGAACTCCAAGGAACTTAGTTCTGAGAACATCAACAACATAAAAAAGGACCAGTCAGAAGTTAAGGATGCACTAACTGAAATAAAGAATAATTTCTAGGGAATCAATAGTAGAGTAGGTAAAGCCAAGAAGCAAACCATTGATTTGGAATATAAGGAAGTAAAAAACACGCAATCAGAACAGCAAACAGAAAAAAGAATCCAAAAATATGAGGAGAGTGTAAGGTGCCTCAGGGACAACTTCCAGTGTGCCAACATTCGCATCATGGGAGTGCCAGACGGAGAAGAGAGAAAGCAAGAGATTGAAAACCTATTTGAAAAAATGACAGAAAACTTCCCTAACTTGGTGAAGGAAACAGACATACAAGTCCAGGAAGCACACAACAAGATGAACCCAAAGAGGTCCACACCAAGACACATCTTCATCAAAATGCAAAAGATTAAAGACAAAGAGAATCCTAAAAGCAGCAAGAGAAAAGCAGTTAGTTACCTACAAAGGAGCTCCCATAAGACTGTCAGCTGATTTCTCAAAAGAAACTTTGCAGGCCAGAAAGGAGTGGCAAGAGATATTCAAGATGATGAAAAGCAACAACCTACAACCAAGATTATTCTATCCTGCAAAGCTATCATTTAGAATCAGCGGCCATATAAAGAGTTTCCCAGACAAGAAAAAACTAAAGGAGTTCATCACCACCAAACCAATATTATATGAAATGTTGAAGTGTCTTCTTTTTTTTAAAAAAAATTTATCCTTTATTGATTTTAGAGAGAGAAGAAAGGAGATGGAGAGAGAGATAGAAACATCAACGAAAGAGAACATCAACTGGCCGCCTCCTGCATGTCCCCACTGGGGATTGGGCCCACATACTGGGCATGTGTCCTGACTGGGAATCGAACCAGCAACCTCTTGGTGCATGGGTTGACGCTCAACCACTGAGCCACACCGGCTGGACTGTCTTCTCGAAGGAGAAGAACAAAAATATAAACAATAAAACGGCAATTAATACATATCTATCAACAATAGAATCTACAAACAAAATGAGCAAACAGAACAGAAACAGACTCACAGATACAGAGAATTTTTTGTTGCTTGCCAGATGGGAGGGGGTTGGGGGATGGGTGAAAAAGATGAAAGGATTAAGAAGTACAAATTGGTTGTTAGACTGATGAACCTCAAAGGGAAGGGGGGAGGGAGGGGAGGATAAGATAAACCAAAGAACTTCTATGCATATATGCATAACCAGTGGACACAGACAATAGTGTGGGAAAGGCAGGAGGGGGGCAGGATTGGGGAGGAGGGGGGTCAATGGGGGAAAAAAGAGGGGACATCTGTAATACATTCAACAATAAAGATAAGTTAAATAAAATAAAATCTATAGGGTTTAAATTTAAATGCAAATATCTAACATTCTTTTTATATTTTGGATGTAAGATAATAAAACAAACAAACAGAAATACCACTCCTCTCACACACATACAGAACAGCAAATATAGTTAATACTAAATTCCAGCTCTGTCCCTTGTTACCATGTGACTCCACCTAAGTCCCAATTTCCTCCTCTGTAACCTCAGGATAATGTCACCAACCTACCTCACAGATATACTGTACAGATGAAATGAAAATATACTTGTACCAAGCAAAACATCCCTCATACACAGTAGCTTCTAATTTCCTTTCTTCTGCTTTGTATGTCAAAAAAGCAGATAAAATAAATCAATAAATTACTAGGAACCACTCTCTTCCATTCCACTTTCCCTTTTGAGCAATAATTGTTTTCAAATGAGTCTTTAACTACCCAGGGCAACTCTGCTTTCCTCCTATTAAAGCAAATTGTACATTTTAAGCAGGACCAACTAGAGACCTCCAAGTTGAATTCTGATTTATGAATCTTATGCAACAGAGCTATTCTTCATCCTACTCAATGGGAATAGTCCTCCTAAAGCTGGGTGGCATGGACTAAGAAAAAGTCTGAATAATTTGTAGACTATAGGAAGCTGAAGACTTCTATAGCTAATGTATTCACTGTAATTAACTCATGATGTTACTGTTCACTTACTACTTTTCTTGGACAATATTATAAGATGTCAACACATTTCCCAGCTCTATATAGGGTTTCAAGAAAAGCAAAATAGTACACTTATTTCCGTTCCCATTTTCCCTCAAGTGGACAAAGAGAAAAACAAGTATTAGACTTTGGTGATACCAGTATGTGTGTTTGGAGTGGCAGGACAGTGAATAACTATTTCAACATCTAATACATAGTAGTTGCTGAAATAGGCACATTATATATATATATATCATATTTAATCTTCAGCAGATACTATGATGCCCATTTTACAAATGAGTTAATGGTCCAAGAAATAAAACACCCTGTAAGTGGTGGAGTCACAATTCAAACACACTGACACAAAACCCTATGCTTTCTTTCCTCTCTAGATCACTCTAGTTCTTGGCAGTACCAGAAGTTTATGAAGCTAATTTAATTGAAAGCAGTTATCTTATAATAAATTTGTTCTAACTCAAATTGGCATAAAGTTTTAATATCTAGATTGAAATGAAAATGGAAAGTACCCAACAACCAAAACAAACACATCTGCTATAATGCAGTAACAATGCAGTTGCTAAGTTTTTTAGGTCTCCCAATATTCACCAAACCTGACCAAAGAAGGCAATGCCTAAGCATAAGCCATTATAACTCCTTAATATGAAATTAGCTTTAATAAATAAATAAATTTATTTATTATAAACTTACAATAAACTGTAAGCCTTGAAGTATATATAAGTATATATTTTATTACAACTATGATAATTTGAACATAAAAGTTCAGTACATTTTCTTCTCAGCCAGTGACTGAGTTATATTTAAAACTGTTGAGATACCATTTCTTGCTGCTTACTTTTTTTTAATTAAAAAAAATTTTTTTTTCTTCATTGATTTTAGAGAGAGAGGAAGGAAGAAGGAGAGATAGATAGAAACATCGATGAGAGAGAACATCATTTGGTCGCTTCCTGCATGCTCCCTACTGGGGATCGGGCCCATATCCTGGACATGTACCCTGACCAGGAATTGAACTGGCAACCTCTTGGTGCATGGGTATACGCTCAACCACTGAGCCACACTGGCCGGGCTCTTGCTGCCTACTCTTAAGAAAATGCCATGCCATCACTGTTAAAGACAGAATTTTCTATATAAGTCATTATATACTATTTCTGACACTAAAACTACTTTTAACTAAGTTCTTTCCTACCTATGACCTCATTATCATCATGTTAATCCTGTGAGGAAGCTAAAAATCTATTATTTCTATTTTATAAATAAGGAACAAAAGCAAATTAAGACCAAGTTATTTGCCTCAAGTCATGAAGCTTATCCTTGACAGAGCCACTTCTGAAACCTGATTACCAGTGTTCCTTAGATCATGGCCCTTGGCTTCTCTTCTTTAATGATTCTCTAGTTTAACATTTAATAAAAGCAACAATTATATTTAAATGGACTGAAGTGATAATTTTGTAATCTTTTCAAATAATCTAAGCATATTAATATATATGATGCTATGTTTGCAAAATATTAGCTCCTTAGTGAATAAACATGCCTAACGGTAAAATAAGCTCTTTCCATAAGAGAAAAAAACAATCTATTAATATTTTATTTTAACTGTTTTTAAAAGAGACACAATACAAAACATGGACAGTGGTTTCTCTAAGATCGCAATATAAAACCAAAGCTCAATATTTTTTAAAAACCCTGAGTGGTTTCTTTTAAGCCAGAACCAACTTATATGAGGTTTACTGTCTACATATTTGCCTCATTTGGCTATTCATTTGCCACAAATATCTACCCAATTGTCTCACATTTATCACCTCTGGTCTTAACATATAGAAACAAATAAAAAAATAATGAAGGTCCTTGGAATCAACTTTTAAATAAATCACTTTAAAATTCATGTCTTAGCCCTGGCCAGTTTGGCTCAGCGGTTAGAGCGTCGGCCTGTGGTCCGGAGAGACCCGGGTTCGGTTCCCGCTAAGGGCACGTACTTTGGTTGCAGTTTGTCCCCGGCCCTGTTTGGTCGTGCGGGTGGCAGCCACTCGATGTGTCCCTTCGCGTCGATGTTTCTCACTCTCTCTCTCCCTTCCTCTCTCTCCCTCCCACTCTATCTGTACAGAAAATGGAAAAATATCCTCGGGTGAGGATAAAAAATAAAATAAAATAAAAAATTCATGTCTTATTTCTGAGAAAGGTAAGGGGCCATTACCTAGGATCACTGAAACACATCTAACAAGCATTTCTTAAAAAAAAAACAAAAACAGCCCTGGCCGGTTTGGCTCAGCAGTTAGAGCGTCGGCCTGCGGTCCTGAGAGACCCGGGTTCGGTTCCCGCGAGGGGCGTGTACCTCGGTTGCAGTTTGTCCCCGGCCCTGGTCGGTTGTGCGGGTGGCAGCCACTCGATGTGTCCCTTTCACGTCGATGTTTCTCTCTCTCTCTCTCTCCCACTCTACCTGAACACAAAAAATGGAAAAATGTCCTCGAATGAGGATAAAAACAAAACAAAACAAAACAAAAACAAAAAACTTAACCCCTGGTATGTTCTGACAGAAGCTAGAATATTGTGAAATGTCCAAAATAATCAATAACAACCTTGTGAGGTCTTTTCAGGGATGCAGAGAATAAACTAAGAAAGGGTGACCAACCATCTGGGTTTGGCTGATGAGGGAGCTCCTAGGACTCGGACTTTCAGTTTTAAAACCAGGATGAGTTGGCCAACCTTACACTGAGGACCACCAGAGAACCCATATGGATACTTGATATCATGCAGACAAAAACTAAAATTTTTTCTAATCACCTTCTCCCTCAAAAATCACAAATTCAATTATATTTTGCCTTTTAAGCCACAGTGAGCAAAGAGAAATGAACAGGATACACGGTAGTTAAGGAAGGGAGGCATACATTTTTTAATGAGAATTTACTTTTAGGCATTAACTTGTGAAGTGAAATTTTAAAAAGTGAATTCACTTTCCCTATTGAAAAACTTCCTTTCATTTCTTATGCTATTTTTACAAATGCGACAATTTGAGTTGAAATAAAGCCAAAATGTCCTATTCTGTGGTTTGTGTCAACCAACATTAATGTTCATTTAGCAGGGAAAAAAGAAGTCTACAAAAACATTTTTATGAGTAGCAAGCCAGGACCAAGGAAATGAGACAGATATGTTTTAAAGGACAAGAGCTAATTCTACCTTCCTTCCAATACTTCAAAACTAGTCAGTTTAGCAGGTATCGTTTATATACACCAACCCGTGGATCATAGCTTCTTACTCTTGGTTAAACAGTTTCAAGCCTAAATGCCCCGGCTATGCAGCATAGCCCTCTGAAGCCATAGCAATAATTTGACTCACCAACTGGTAGGTGTCTTAGGTTCTACGAATAATGGGTGTCTGCCTGGATGAGAAGAAATGTTTGTGCCCAGCAGATGACCCCATCCTGCTTAGCTAAGAGAGGAGAGAGACTAAAAACTGGTCAGTAGTATAGTACTTGTTTTATAATGTAAAGAATCGGACTTTGCTCCAAACAAGAGACTTATAAATCATGTGGACTTTTAAAATGTCCTCTGTACTTAGTTTATATTCTAATGTCCACTTAACTGAAGAGTACAACAGAGTAAGATCTGAAAGGATAAAAATCAATTTTATGACCCCTAAATTAGAAATAACTGAAAGCAAGAATTATACAAGTTGTTTCAAGAAATTTGAAGTCAGAGTCAGGAGAAAAATATATCCATATTTAAACCCTCCTATGATATTTAATGACTTGATGTCAGTTTCCACTCAAGTGAAAATTAGTTCATATTTAAGTTCAAGTTCCCTGATGGATATCCTTATGTGAAAACTGACACCATGTCACAGTTAATAAGATATGGGTTTATAAATATGGAGTTTAAAAGAAACTTACCCTTTCCCTCTGTGCAGCTCTGACTTCCAACCGTTTCTATAGAAACAGGAGGACAAGTGCCAGTGCCAGAATTCTGCCCATTGGAACTCATCTTTTAGTTGCTGAATAATAAGGCCATATCCCAAAGTTGGCTATAGGTTTTTGATTGTCAGTAGTTCCTAAAAAGAAACCCAGGAGGAAAAAAGACATTTAACCAATTACTGTACTTAGAAATGCTCTCTCCTTTAAACATGGCTATTAAAGTAGAGGAGGTAGATCCAAAAATATGTATTTTTTAAAAAATTGTATTAGGGATTCAGACATCTATAAACATAGGGAGCAGCAAACAGAAGCAAGTGTCTTTGAAGGTTCAAAATACCTTTAAATCAATATATTAAAGCAAAAAAAAAAAACACTCTTGTATCACAGAAATAAAGTCTTTTCAACCACCAACTTTGAAGTTCAGATGAATTCATTCCTTTTGTAGAATGAATTTTCAGTAAGATTATAACACTGCAGAGGGTAAACTTCACAAATGAAATTTCTCAGGAGAAATAAATAGGTAAGTCTCCACTAAAAATAAACCTCTCAGGTATCAAGAGAAATCTATAATTCACAAATAAACCCTAGAAATGTTTTCTAGAGATGCTGACTTGATGAAATCCCTCCAAAACACATACACCAACTGAAAAACTGTGGATGTAAGAAGAGTCTGGCTGCAGTTTTTCATTTGATATCAACATGGTTGTTTGGCAAATGTATTTCAGAATCTTTGATCATAAAAATGAACATACTAAAAATATCATTCCTGTATCAAACTGATACATTACAGGTTAGAGTATTCTCTGAACTGTCATACTGGACCACTCCCATTAATATATATAAATCCTAACATTTATTATGTTATTTGTCACTGTGAACTTTAAGATGAATTAAATATAAATTAGATTTCTGTTTCTTATTGCTATGTGAGGAAAATCAGTTTATTTATGAAATTACTATAATATTAAAATTTAAAAACAAAGGCCAATAAGAACCACTCCTCAGCCCTGGCCGGTTTGGCTCAGCGGTTTTCTAGAGATGCTCACACTGCTGTGCTTGATGAAAAATCCCTCCAAAACACATGCGCCAACTGAAAAACTGTGGGATGTAAGAAGAGTCTGGCTCAAGAGTCCCGGATTCGATTCCAGCCAAGGGCACGTACCTTGGTTGCGGTTTGTCCTGGCCCTGGTTGGGGTCATGCAGGTGGCAACCAGTCAATGCGTCTCTCTCACATTGACATGTTTCTCCCCCCCAACTCCGTCTGAAAATAAATGTTAAAAAAAAAAAAAAACCACTCCTCAATCCTCCCATTGAAAGCTCTAAACCTACCTCTACCAAATTTACTAAATTAGGGGACATCTATCATCAAACTGCATCTCCGATATCCTCAACTGTACCTATAAAAAGTAACATATTCTCTCTCACAATGAAAAGAGTGGACTAGAAAACAATAGGAAGGACAGAAAAAAAACATAAGCACAACAAAATAATCAAGAACCAACCAAGTAGGACAAACAATTGTAACCCCTCCCTTGTCTTGGTGCCAGAGACCTTTATCTCTGGCCACCAGAAGTTCACTACCAAAGAACTCTTTTGTTCCTACTTTTCTTGTTGAAAAAATATATATATATTTTTTTATCCTCACCCGAGGATATTTTTCCATTTTTTGTACAGATAGAGTGGGAGGGAGAGAGAGGAAGGGAAAGAGAGAGAGAAACATCGATGTGAAGGGACACATCGAGTGGCTGCCACCCGCACGACCAACCAGGGCCGGGGACAAACTGCAACCGAAGTACGTGCCCTTAGTGGGAACTGAACCCGGGTCTCTCCGGACCGCTGGTCGACGCTCTAACCGCTGAGCCAAACTGGCCAGGGCAAAAATATTTTTTAAATGCTTTAAAGTAAATGTCATTGACTAATGCACAAATCTGAGCATCTTACTCATAAAGGATAAAAGTCTAATCCATTTTTATTACACAGAATATTTATGTATCTACATCTTAAGCAGTGCTTCTCAATCTTTAAAGTGCATACAAATCACCTGGGGAATCTCAATCCATTCAATAGGTCTGGGGTGAGACCCTGCCAATTGTGTTTCTAACAAAATTTCAAGTGATGCTAATGCTACTGGTCTGAGGACCGTTGCCTCTGGCATGATCCTGACCAGAGCCAGGGATTAAATCTACAACCCAGGTACTGCCCTTGACCAAGAATTAAACCCGAGACCCTTCAGTCTGCAGGTTGATGCTCTAACCAATGAACTAAACTGGCCAGGGCAAAGACCACACACTTTAAATAACAAATATTCTAGAAGACTAAACAATATACCTGGCTGTACTGAACCCAAATGATACTCTGAAAATTTTGGGTTTTCATTTTCAAACAGTCCTTAGAGGGTGATGGTGTGTGTGTTTGTATGTTTAAGATTTGTCTCTGGAGCAATGGTTTTCAACCCTGGCTACATAGTAGAGTCACCTAGGCCATTGAAAACGAAACAAAAACAATACTGGGAACTTGGCAGAGTTGCACTTGACCTAAATTGCTAAACAAAGCTCTGAGCAAGTGTCCCAGCTATTGATATTAAAAAGCTCCTTAGATCACCCTGGCTAGTTTTGCTCAGTGGTTAGAGCACTGGCCTGTGGACCAATGAGTTGCGGTTCAATTCCAGTCAAGGGCATGTACCTCGGTTGTGGTTCATCCCTGGCCCTGGTCGGGGTCATGCGGGAGGCAACCAGTCGATGTGTTCCTCTCACCTCGGTGTTTCTCTCTCTCTCTTTCTCTCTCTTTCTCTCTCTCTCTCTCTCTCTCTCTCTCTCTCTCTCTCCCTCCCTCCCTCCCTCCCTCCCTCCCTCCCTTCCTCCCTCCCTTCCTCCCTCCCACTTTATCTGATGATAAATAGAAAAAATATCCTCGGGCGAGGATAAAAAAAAAAAAAAAGTTCCTTAGGTGATTCTAACGTGGAGTCAGGTTTAAGACTTCTGCTAAAGAATGCAGAAAAATTTGAATTAAGGTGTATAGATTACTGAAGTGTTTCTATATATAAAGAATATACACACACTAGGTTCTTATCTTGGGAGCAAGGTAAACCTACTGTCAATTTCTGTATGCTGAAATACAAATTTTATGGAAGACCAATTTTCCCAAGATGCCTTAAAAAAATAAAACTATATATCTATGTAGCACCTCCAAGTGTTAATTTTGCCTGTGATGACAGTTCTACTCCGGACATAGATGTATTAATATGCTTATGCATAAAATTTTTTCATTAAGTTCTTTTCCTGGGTAAAATAAAGTCTGTTGGTCACCTGGAAAAGGTCAGATACCAGTTTAGCACTTAAAAATTGTATAAACACATGTATCTGGTTTGCACAGGATGACAGCCATTCTATAGAAAGACCCTCTTAAAAAGACTTTCAATAAGGAAATCTGGTTTGATACCATTAGAGAAATTTCAAGTTATGAAATATAGAAAGCATGGTCAGTATGTTATAGCATAAACTATATGATGACTACGTATGACTATGGCGGAAACTCTCATGACAGTCTGATGAAAGCAGAGAGAATAAGAAATAACATAAGAGAAAATGAGGTACTAGGAGCAAGATGGCTTTGAAACCTCAATGTGGCCAACAATTATGAGCCCGAAGAAGAAATAAAATGTCTATTATGGCCCTGGCCGGTTTGGCTCAGCGGTTAGAGCGTAGGCCTGCGGTCCTGAGAGACCCGGGTTCGGTTCCCGCTAAGGGCGCATACCTCGGTTGCAGTTTGTCCCTGGCCCTGGTAGGTTGTGCGGGTGGCAGCCACTCGATGTGTTCCTTTCACATCGATGTTTCTCTCTCTCTCTCTGTTCCTCTCTCTCCCTCCCACTCTATCTGAACAAAAAATGGAAAAATGTCCTCGGGTGAGGATAAAAAAAAAAAAAATGTCTATTATGGTATCTAAAAGTGGAACACTGCTGATCTCTGAAGAACACAGGAACACAGTCTTACAAAGAATCTGAAATGATAATTCCTTTGAAGGAATTATCTTTGACTTGTAAATGGTAGAAAGAGTGAATTATCTATACTGGTTTACTATCTTCAATTAGTGTAGCTAGTTAATTAATTCTTCAAATATCTGGGTACCTACCGTATACCAGGCATTATTCTAGATCTTGGGAATAATTGAAGGAAATTTGTGTTACTTTCCTGAGACAGGCAATTACATCATTCCTCTGCTTAAAACCTTCAATGGCTTTCCATTGCATTCAGCAGTTAGAATGCAATCCAACCCTTTATTCCTTGGCAACAAGGCCTAACTTATAGTTTACTATCTCCCTTCTTCCATCAGAATGTAAGCTCCATAAGAAAAGAGAACTTGTCTGTTTTCTTCACCAATATACTCCCTCAAGATCTAGAATGCCTGCTATATAATAAGTACTTAAATATCTGAAGAATTAGCTACATTTATCGAAGAGACACAGTATAGATAATTCAAAATAGAAAATCTTTCAACCATTTACATGTCAAAGATACACTCAACTTTATTTATAATTCCATTGTCTCCATCCTATTGGTAACCTAGTTCAAAGGTAGTAGATAGGTGAATGTTCATTCATGAAAAACAACTTGTATGTTTACATACACATGCAATCTTAGAATCACCTCCAATTTTAATTTAAGTTATACTATAGTCACATTATTTTTAAATTAACATCTGAAAAGTCAAGGATATCTCAGTCAGTTCCTGGCTGTGTATCTCTTAGTCAAGTCACAAAACTTCTGCTATCCCTTTAGCAGTCCATAAACTAAACAGTGGCCCTTATTCACTAACTGTTATAAGGCAAAATTAAATACTAAGCAAGGTTGAATTCCCTGGAGAAATAATTACATGACTATAAAACTGTTATTTAAGTGACACTTTAACTGATAAATTCCATAGCATTTAGTTTCATTCTGCTTGTCTCTGCAACAGCTTTGAATTCATCTTCTGGAAGTGCCCCCTTCTCAGCTTCAGAGACAGAACACTATTCTGGCTCTTCTACTGGGGACTTTTTCCCAGCATCATCTTCCCTTCCCATGTCTTAAATGTGACACTACCCCAGCTATATACTTTAGCACTCTATTCACTGGGCCAGTGTTGCTCAACATGTGGCTACCGACCATAAACTATATCAGAATTTACCTGGGGGCTTGTAAAAGAACAGATTCCTGGGCCATGCTGGCCCTAACAAATCCCAGAATGCCTGGGGTTAAAGCCAAGGGCCTGTATGTTTCCCAAGAACTATGAATGTCGATATACTCTAGAGTCTGAAATCCACTGTCCGTATTCTCAAATTTGCAGCTTTAATCCCATCCCTGCTCCAAGAAAGAGCAGTGAAGTGTGACAGTACAGTAACAACAAAGGCCTGGTTAGAACTCTGGCTCTGTCACTTATTAGCTATCAGATTATGGTCTGTGGTGAGACATGAGATAATGTGTATAGAACTCAGCAGAATGTTGGCCTGAAGGGGGTATTTCACAAATGATTGTTATTATTAGTACTGTTGCTTTTTATCAACATGTCTCAATTGATTATGCATTTTCACTCCCTGCCCTCCTCAAACTGGCTTGTCCTCAGGATTCCGTTTTTTGTTGACCCATTTCCAAGCTTCAGCCTGCATCTTTTCCATCAATCAACAGGCTGCTAGATTGTTATTCATGCTTGTCAGCCTGACATCTTTTTTTTTTTTTTTTATCCTCACCCGAGGATATTTTTCCATTCCTTGCTCAGATAGAGTGGGAGGGAGAGAGAGAGAGAAACATCGATGTGAAAGGAACACATCGAGTGGCTGCCACCCGCACGACTGACCAGGGCCGGGGACAAACTGCAGCCAAGGTACATGCCCTTAGCGGGAACCGAACCCAGGTCTCTCAGGACCGCAGGCCGACGCTCTAACCGCTGAGCCAAACCGGCCAGGGCCAGCCTGACATCTTAATCCTAATCCAACTAATAAATTCTTTTGTAAAACCTTTCTTTTTTTTTTTTATCCTCACCAGAGGACATTTTTCCTTTTTTTTTTTTTTTTTTTGTTCAGATAGAGTGGGAAAGAGAGAGAGAGAAAAACGTCAACGTGAAAGGGACACATCGAGCGGCTGCCACCCGCATAACACAACCAGGGCCGGGGACAAACTGCAACCGAGGTACATGCCCTTAGCAGGAACTGAACCCGGGTCTCTCTGGACCACAGGCCGATGCTCTAACCGCTGAGCCAAACTAACCAGGGCTGTAAAGCCTTTCTTGACCATACTAAATTAATCTGTTTATATATTCATTCATATACTCATGTCATCTGTAAAAATTAATTAGCAAATCAACTCAAATACTGTGACATCCCTCTTATAGTTGGTCTTAAACTATGAACTTTTCCCCTGATATTTAACTATTTACCTGTTTGTATCTACTTTCCCCAATTAGAGGGTAACTTGCTAACTGAGGTACAGACTACCTGATACTTTCTTCTATATGCTCAGCACCTTAGTTCTTAATATACGACCAACATTCAAATGATTACACAGAAACCCTACCTGAAAGCTTAATATGATAGCATTCTGGTAGAAGCATGTTAAGTCACTTTACTTCAAGGCCAAAATATCTTCTTGGTTGCTAAGAACAATCTTGCCTGAGGTTTGAAGGAATTTTGTTAATTGAGTAAATTCCTCTGCTAACAATTTAAAACTAGGTTATAATTCAAGTTATTAAGTAAAAGGGTCTTTTCATCAGGGAAGCTTCAAGAGAGTAAACTGGGAGATAAAGGTGGTGGTCAGACAAGGCATAATCAGATAATCCTGTTGCAAAAAGAAAAATAGATGCTATACAAGGCATAAGCACTAAATTTACTGAGTCGGATAAACAACTTGGAAAAAATGTGACTTAATTATAAAATCAAGGTTTACCAAAGTTAGGGTAATCCCTATTTTCAATTTTAATACTCACAGGCAGGCTTTCCAAAATGAGCACAAGTCAATTCAGAGGTATTCACGGAACTATTTCCTTTAGAGTAGAACCCTAAATTCAGATCATAATAAAGACACTAGGAAACCACACAAATATTTCAAAATGTCAGTTTCCAATTTATAAAACTAGAACTGTAGATCTAACAGTCAACGCAATTAGTCTTTTCTTCCCAGTGTAGCTGGAAATGAAATTTCTTGAGTACTTTCAAAATTGTCATGCTGTGTACCTTTCCATTTTCCATTCAGTTTCATATACAACTAAACAAATACCCTGATACATTTCTTCTTGCTTCTGAGAGGAAGCTTGAGATCTTAGAAAGATATCAAACATGTAGAAATATGTAAAGTGTAACAATCTTCCCCAAATTGCTACAGAGATATAAAATCCTTGTTCAATAACTGGAAAAATTACTTAATGGGCTCTCAGTGTGAACCAGCCAAAGAAAATATACTGGAAACTGACATTCCCAACAGGAATAAAACCTTCAGACATGTAGATAAGCGATAATTTAGCAAAGCTTTAGATGGCAGCCAACTCATAAGCAGATGTTTTAAAATTCTTGTGAAAGACACACTGAGAACCTTTAGAAAAACTGTACACTTCACTTTTCCCCTTTGGAAAGAGATAAACAAAAATTTCATAAAAAAGAAAAATTCTACTCAAAAATTTCAATCCCATTTAAAATAAAGAAAACCTAAATTGCATTATATACATTAAAAAATTGTGCTTGTGTTAAGTTGCCCAAACCTCACACTTAATTAATGTTGGGGGGAGGAGCTGGAAGGGCTCAGAAGGCTGGCAGGACTAAATGGACCATGAAAATGATGGTAATAGCATTTTCAACATTGTCTATTTACTCCCCTAGAGTTGTAGTAGCCTAATTTTATAATTAAATTAATCTTTGTGGAACAACAAAAAAAAACCTAACCATTTTGGCTAAATTATCACATTTTTCTTTTTTTCTATATACTATAATTTTGTTAACTTGGAAATTTATAGCAGGAAATTCTTCCAGCACCAGTAAATCACCACTAAGGGTGAAGGTCAAGGCTAATAGAAAATGTTAAAATTTTAAAGGACATCAAGGCTGTAGGTCCCAAATCCATAGCCAAGATTTCAATGCTTTGGCTCCCACATTAAAAGAATGTTTCCAAAAAAATAAAAATATCATTAGAACAAGCTCTGACCTTGAATTTTACAAATACAACACTTTGGTGAAGGGGAGGTAGCTAGTAGTATCAGCAGCAGAGTGCCTGATTTCCAGAGAAACATACCCCCAACATTAAAATCCCTCACCCTACTAATTATAATGCATTTTTGACCTCTAAAAACCGTCTTACCTGTTTACAAGAGTTTATACAGCTGTTTGCCACTGGAACACCACCTTGCAGAGTATAAGCGTGGCATCCTTTGTTGGTAATCACCTGTTGCCTAAGTAATCATCATCCCGCATGGAGACAGACAGCACTAGGGCTCTTCCATCCGAAGTTAAAATTCAAAACAAGCCCAACAAGCCTGCATTTCAAGGTGGTCTTCGTCTGCAACTAGTTAAGTTTACAACTGGCAAACAACAATGGTGTCTGAAGCCAATGGTGCAGCATGGCTGGCTTCCTCTTGAACTCCAGCGTTGTCACTGTGCACCGAAGTCTCCTGCTGCAAACAGGGGAGTTGTTCTCCTGTACTGGGAACAGCTTCCAAAGCTCAGGAACCCCTGTGCAGGATAATGCAGGAACTAAAGGCAAACACTTTTTTTCCTCCTTAAGGATGCCTCCATTTTTTTCCTCACAATCTGTACTACCAACCGAGGTGACTGGGCCTGAGTGTGCGTTCGTACCTACGAAACCGTCACGATGCATGCACATCCAAGGCATGTGGAACCACAGGTCAAATAAGGCACAGATACCAAGTAACGGTTCTAATTACAAACGCTAGCTCTCAGGAACTCTTCATCCATTCAGAACTAAACCCATCACTGCATACCTCTGGTGAGAAGCCCCTGGAGATGGAGGAGCTCCTCAAATGTGTCAGGAAAGGCTTTATTAACATCATCATTAACATTTAAAAAGCAAACGGAGCATTCTCCTTCTTTTGGCAATTTGGTGCAAATGTTAAGTGCAAGATAAAGCAATTGCAAACTTTTCTTCAAATTAAAAATGAAACTAAGGCCAAACGTGATGGGTGAACAAAATAAATCAAAACTTAAATTTCAGCAACTCCGGCTCTTCAAACCAGCAAAGCCCCCGACTCGTGCACTGTGGTGAGGCTTACGGTGCTTGCCCCGGCTTCTTGCGTGCCAGCCAACAGCACCATTTCCTCATCAAGTTGAGGACCGAGAAGCAAATGATCCCCTTCACTGCAAACAAAGGGGGTCACAGTAACACTAGTGATCCTTCAGAATTGACACACCGCGACAAGTCAAAATGATGGTCTCCCTGCTTCTTGCTCAAGACATACAAGATCTGAGCAGCAGCAAGTAACGCCTCAGCTGCAAACAAAGGGGTCAAAGGTTTGCCGTCAATTCACTTCCAGGCAGAAAAACATTTTCCTCAAAAGAAACAATTTATTTAGAATAAAACAAAAGCAGCTCAACTGTGAGCGCATGTTTGAGTGACAGCTACTTTTAAGCTGTGTGAGCCATAAAAAGGGTTTTTCTTTACTTTTCCAGAAATCTTGTGTACACAGCACAAAGCAAGAGGTCATTTTTCCACTTAAAACACCGGCATTGGCATCACAATAGCAGATACACAACTTTAAGCTGCCATTTTAGTAAAATGCACAAATACTAAACAGATTAGCTTTCTTCCATCAAGAGGCCCATGTAAACTCCACATAAGCCACAACTTCTCTTCGAAAAGTTCCATTAGAGCTTTGATTTCCGAATCTTCATCCACTGTTCACCAGCTTTGCTTGCAGGAGGGAAAAAAAGGTTATTCAGTAAAAATTTTTACAATATTAAAAATATATATATTTCCCCTATGCCATCATAGATGAACATAATGTTAACAAGACCTTCCTGGATAGTCCACCTTGACCTCAAAAAGCACCAATAATACCCATTGGCACAAACCTTGAAATGAATTTACTGTATGAACAGACAAATAACAAGTAGAATAGGGTGGATTTTTTAAAAAGAAGGCAATTAAGTGAGGATTATAGGACTGAAAATATCCTTTACACTCATAACTGAGTAAAACATATTGGAAAAAAATTCAGAAGACAGCAAGTTTATAATCAACTTGTGATCAATATATTCGACATATAACTTAAAAAAAATGAAACCGTAAAAAGGTGAAGTTTAGTCAAACTTTTACCCCCTCTATTTTCATTCTGTAATTTATATGGAGCAATACAGAACTGCTCCATTATTACAGAGAGGGGGCAAGATACAAAGCCATTTAAAAATCCACCTTCATCTGTGTTACCAAAGACAGCAACTATTATTTCAAGAAAACACTCATACAAACCATTGCTAAACAGCCAAAGAACACTTTAGGACTTTTACTTATTCAGTGCTGTTTAAAATCACACCATATAAAACTTTTCATTAAGCCGGACAGTCCACTATGATCACCTGAAATTGTCTTCTCCCCTTAGGGACATCACTATAACCAGAATGTTAACAGGGTCACATCCATTTTTCCTCTACTTGTTCAAATACCTAACTCCCATCTATCTCAAAACCATGCACTGTGGCAGAGACAGAAAAAAAAAATGTGCAGAAATTCTCTCCAAAAATTTTTTTCACATGAAAAGTCATAAAGGCCCTCTTCTCAAGAGGATTTCCTAATTCTGTTACCACAGAGTTTTTGGTGAATGGTTCCTATATGAACCCAAACTGCAATTCAAGCTACACCTACATAATGAGCAATTTCACTGTCTAAAAAAAATGGATTAAAAAAAAAAAAAAAAAAAGGCTGTCAGTGAAAACCTGCCCATAAAAGTTTTAAAGTAAACCTAAACAGTGTTTGACTCTGAAAGCAACAAACACACATCTTACTTTTACTACTGTAACCCAAATGATCTAGTTAAGAAGGGCCGGAATATATATATTACCTTCAAAATGTAACAAAAGCTTACACTAGCCAGAGGATGGACATTTTAAGATATAATCCTTAAAGGGAAGTCTATCTATGTTCAATTAAGAGTCAAAGTACACATCTTAAACCAGGAATTTAAATTTTTGTGTGGAAAACTCTTTATGAATCCCGGTTACAACCAACAAAATAATACTAAAAAATTGGCTAGAAACTGAAGGCTTGCTTAATTTTCCATAAGCTTTGAAGTGGTGGTCCAAAAGTCTTAATTAGCTTGATGTTTTCACCAGTAATACTTAATAAGTCATTAAATGATATACTGAAAAAATTCTTTCCATCCATTTGAACCAAGTTCCAGAAACATCAACTAAACAAAAGCATTTTTTTAAGTATAAGAAAAAGAAAAAAAATTGGTTGTTACAAAGAACACCCAATGCTGAGATTATGAAGTTCTGACTAATCAGTATCAGACCCAGACAGTTTTAGACTTTTGCTTTCATTCCATTCTGCAAGTTTAACTCAATAGTTTACCAGTATTATAAACCTGCACAACAGAATGGACATCACAAATAAGAGATTCATCTGAAGATGGCACTCTGTAGGTAAGCACCAAACTAAAACATAATTCATCATTTATAATACATACGTTTAGAAATGGTATCAAGCCACTGTTTCAAAAATATTGAAGCACAAGTTTCCCAGATCTAACAAAGCTGCAATGTCAAGATTCAAACAAACATGGAGCAAGAACCACTTTAAAAAAAAGGAAAAAAGAAAGGGAAAAAACCACACACGGTTTGGATGATCATAAAATTAGATGTCACTCCTCTACAAGAGCAAAATTATTTGTCCAGCCATCTTATCAAAAGATATTCAAAAGTTAATGGTTAGTGAGATTTAAACTGGAAAAATGTATCTAGCCAAACTGTACTTTGACCTCATGTATGAAGACTGCACACTTTCTGAACAGGTTCTACGCCATATTACCATGTCAAGCTCAGCATTTGAAAAACAAAAAGCACCCAAAGCCTTAACTGTAGGACTTTAGGTATTTTCCCTACAAGCTAACCAAAAGCCTTTGTGCTCATAGCCTAGTATTCTCCTTCTCTCAAAATCACTAGTTTTTCCAGTTTAAAACAAAAGAACCCAAAAAAACTAACTCTAAATCTAAAAAGAAAATTTATGAAGGCATAATAAAATCCCTCCCCTCTAAGACACAGCAATGATGAGGCTTTCATGCTGACATGCATTAGACACCTGTCATAATGGAAAATAAAAAATTACATGACATTTCCCTGGGTTATTATTGGTGCTATTTTAAACTACCAGCTTTGATAACAGAAAGAAAACAGTTGGGTTCTGCCAGGCTTTCAATAAGTCACTTTCACAGACTGGAAACATGATCATGATCCAAAAGGTCCTAAAGTTTCTAATCATAATTAATTATCAAGGGCCTTCGCTAAAGTCCTCAGCGTTTAAATCAAGTAGGGAAAATATACTAATGACCTGAGAAACTAGGAGTGGAGGCTAAAAGATAAATGGGAAGAAAAAAAATCATCCATTGCTGTTAAGCAGCAAAAGCCCTTGTTAAGAACCAAAAATCGTTATTATCTTCAGCTTTGAAAAAAAACATAGGAGTGGGTTATTTTCAATTAATTCCAGATGTCTGGGAAAATAAAACAATAAAAAAGGGTTTTTCTACACCAACCCGAGTGAAAATATTAAGCACAAGATTTCAAAGATATTCAAAACATTTTCAATAACATAATGTCATCCCTACCGCTTAAAATTTTTAGAGCATGTCAAAGGCATTTCACGATGACTGAAAAATTCTGCAATCTAGATATGGCTGATTAATGCCTACTGAAACAAAAGATGACTTATGAGCCTGCAGACAACAACTCTTCTTTCTATTATTGAAATCAGAAATTTGAATGAGTACAAAAACAAAAACTCTTCTTTGATAAGAAACACTTAAGTTTTGAAATATGCACAATTAGAACTGTACCTGCTACACTTCCCTAAGTCAGTAAAAACAACCCACACCAATAACTGACCAAAGAATTCTGATTTTAAAAGCACCTACTCATTTCTTGCATACTAGTATAAGCATAAGACATATGGTTTGTAACATACTCAATTTTTACTGAACAGTTACGGCTACAAACCAAAAGTGCATATACGGGATACAGAACTCAAGAACCAGTGATAAAAATGCATATGTTAAAGTAAACTCTCTGGGAATAAACCATGTATTTTTAGAGAAATACTCAAATACCTGATTAAAAATAATTACATTGCTATACAATTTACCAGCTTATACTTTGAGGTCCCTGACAAAATTTTTTCATGCAAGTAACATTTTTGGTATAGAAATTATTTACCTACATACCAATCAAGCCATTTTTAGGTGTATATTACCATCTTTATATAGTCAATGGGCTTTTTCCTCCAAATTTTGACTTTTCAAAGTTTTGGTTTTGTGACTTTGAGGATTTTTTTTAAGCTCAAAAAGAAAAAAAAAACCAGGAGGAAAAGAGTTACTCATAAGAATGGGAACTGCTAATTAAAGTAAACCCATCTGCTTGCTACCTCCAGGGCATCTTTCACTTAACAGCTAAACTGTCCTGATGTCTATTTTAAAGAGGTTTATAAAAATATAAAAAAGAAAAAAGCTACAACTGAACAACTAAAAAGAAATTTTCATCTAATGCTTGTATCCCATTATACATCACAAAACAGGAACCATATCAAAGTAGTAAATACAAGTTACACATGGACTTTAGGACGCACCACGGACAATGATCATGACCAGGTAATCTTCTTCAGATTTGGCCAGAGCCTTGGCAGGAGAATCCAGGAACTGCTGGGAGAACTCACAGGGTGGGAAGGCGTGAAGGACCCCGGTGTTTTCCTTGTCTTTGTTGCCCCCCACAGGAAGGCTGATCACCCCAGCGGCCTGCTTTTGCTTTAAATAGGACACCAGGTTCCTAAGTGGCCTCTGAGTAGAAGTGGCAGTGTCTGATGTGGCTGAGGAAGAGGATCTGCTGTCAGAACTTCCAGGCACAGCCAGAAGAATGGCATAACCATTGGGCCCTGCCACTTTGATGCGTCGAGTTACTTCATCCAACTTGGGCTGGTCCAAACGAAGACGCTGAGTGATCTTGAGCTGGGCAACTTTGCCTCCACTTGAGCCCTCCACAAGAAGACTACTGGCCACTTGGAGGTCACCCTGCAACAGATGCATGTTGGAAGGAAAGTTGCTGTTCTTCAACAGAAGCATACCCTGCCAGGCCAAACAGAGCTTGGGAGAGGCTGCTGCAGCAGGGGCTGTCCCACCATCCTGTTTCTGGGAAGGGGACTTTAGCTTCGAGGAAGCAGTGCTGGTGCTGGCTGCACTCCCATCAGACCGGTCTTCTTTTTTCAGAGGGCTTTTTCCCTCAGCGGGAGCAGCTGTCCGGTGCTTCCTATCACGTTCAACTGATGCAGAGTTTTTGCGGTCTCGCTTGTCACCCTGGCTTTTCTCCAAACTACCTCGTCTGTCTTTGATTGGAGAGTGCCTTTCCAAGAGCAGAAGACGGGAAGATCGATCATTGTCACTGTTGTAGCGATCCCGGCTACTGCTCAAGTCTGGACTTCGGTCAGGAGAAAGAGCGCAGTGACGTTTTCGAGGACGATCACTCTCAGGGGACCTATCTAGATGCCGTCCCCCACTTTCTTCAGGCAGCCTTCGCTTCCTAGGCTGGTCTCTGCTGCTGGGCAGATCTCGATCACCTCTGTCCCTGTCCAAGGACCAGCCATCTCGCCTGCGATCCAGGCTATCCAGTGGCTCATAAGCAGGCACAGCAGTAGGGGCAGTCCGAGTGCTGCGTTCCCGGACTGGGGGTGGAGGTGGCACCCAATCAGAATCAGTATAAAGGTCCCTATCACGATCTCTGTATAGTAAGGGGGGTGTCCTATCTCGAGCACCCCTCAAAGGGTCTTGTGCTCGATGTCCAAAAGCATCTGTCACCAGCTCATAATGAGTTAAGGGCAGAGGCTGCAGATACTGCTGCTGGTACCGATGTTCTGTGTCTGCAAAGTCCACTCTAAGGCGACGATCTGGGCCACCAAGTGGAAAGCCCCGCATATGGGTCCAGGCAGCATGAGCTGCATCTAGGCTTTCATACTGGATATATGCCCAACTATCACCTTTTCGGTAGTCTATGGTGCGTATGGTGCCAAATCGGTCAAATTCTCGTGCCAGGGCAGCAAGAGGCACCCAAGGTCCCAGGCCACCTACCCAGAGGCGTGTGGTGGGTGTAGCTTTACCATAACCAATTTTGATAGGATTCCGAATTATAATCTTGCCAGACATTGCTAGTTTGGCACGGTGAGACATGTCTAGGTTCTCAAACTTGAGAAAGCCATAGGTACTGGTCTGGCCTCTAGAAGGCCTCTTAATGTCTACTTCTGTAATAACTCCAAAGCGATCAAAAGCCCTTCTTAGATCACTCTCTGTCACAGTGATGTCTAGGTTGCCCAAGAAAAGCGTCCTGTTAGCTCGCTGATCATCCTCCGGTGAGATCTCATCCACTTCTCGGAAAGGAGCTGCACCTGCCCCAGCTCCCACCCTTTGCTCAAGACTGTATGCCGGACGTACTCTCTCATAGAACGGGTAGTCTCGCTCCCTCTCCAGGTCTCGGGGCAATGGTGGCAGAGGTGGAGGGGGCAGGCGGCCAAGAGCCAACTGCTGCAATCTGTAGTCTCTGTATCCCAAAGCTGCCCCACCAGGGGAAAGCGATCTCTGGCCTCCACCACCTCCTCCAGGAGGGTGCCGATGACCCCCTACAGAGGCCCCGACCACGCTGGATGATGGAGGATAAGTATCTTTGTCTAAGGGGGAGCGGCTGCGGCGCCGGCTCACATACACAGCTTCTATCTTCAGGGGCCGGTCATAGAGCACAAGGCGGCCTCTGGCATGCTTGGCCGCCCGCGCGTCCTCTGGCCGCCGGAAGTTCACAAAGGCTACGCGCTCATCCCCGCCGCCAGAACCCGAGAGGTGGCTGATTTTGACACTTACATCACCGAAGCGTTTAAACTCGTGAAACAGTCCGTCCTCCACCGCTTCGTCACTCAGCTGGGACCCCAACTCGCTTATCTTCAGTGTCTTGTACTCCCCGCCGTCAGGAGCTGAGGAGGCGGCCCCAGAGGAACGTGACTCCCCGCCTCCACCGCGGGAGCTGCTGCGCGACTCGCCCCCGCCCGAGGAATTTTTAGTGCTCGGGGAACTGTAACTATGTAAGCGGCTACTGGAGCTGCCCCCACCAGTATCATACTCGCGGCTGCCACCTCGGCTGCTGGACTTCTCTAGATGAAGGCTGCGCCGCGACCCGCCGCCGCTGTCGGTCTTTCCGCTGTTGCTCCCATTGCTGCCACCAGAGCCCCCTAACTTCTTGCTACGCTCCCCGCGAGAAGTCGAATCCTCACCACCACGGGAGCGTTTGGACTTGACTGGAGAGCGCTCTTTTCCCTTCATTGTTGCGGGTCGTCGGAGGTCGTCTCCGCGGAGCTGATTAACCCGCCGCCCCGCGCTGGTTTCACACAGCGGAACCGCATGCCGCCATCTTGGACTCCGCCGCTGCAAAGGATCCCGCCCCGCAGTCTCCATTGGTCAAGTAGCTCCTGTCTCCTCCAGTCTCATTGGGAAAACTACTTGTCTGTCTTTACATCTCCCCGCGCTCCGGGACGGCGCCCGCCCGACCACTGTTATTGGGTTCCCAACGCCTTGATCGAAGTACCTCATTGGTTACATTCATTGTCCATCTTAACGGTTCCTCGCGCCAGGCTGTAGCTCCGCCCCTCGCACTCTATGGCCACCTGAACCAAAGTCTGGAGGCGTTGATTGGTCAAAAAGTGTGTCCTGTAACGGTACTTCTTGCGCTCTGAAAGCAATGATCCCACCTTCTCATCCCTTTTCGTGGTATTCGACCCCGTCTTTTAACCCACTATTTGGGAAGTCAGGACATCTTTTCTGGCATTTTTTCCCCTGAGAGGCCGCCTCATAGCGATCTCGCACGACAGAGCGTCTCCTCTTTCGACCTCTTCTTCCAACTCCTCCGGCGGCTGAGAGAAGTTTAAATCTGATTGGATAGTGACGGGGAAGTTGATAGGCTGAAATAACTGCCCATCACTCTCTTAAAGGGGTAGGCCCACGTACTGAGGGAGTGGACTGAAGGTGAAAGTGTGGAACACGCGATTGCTGTGCGACGTCACTTAGACGTCGCGAGATGGTGACCAGGATCCCGCTCCGCCTCTTCGCGCTTTCGGCGTTTTGCCCTCACACATTTGTTCGGTTCGGCAACGTAGTCTGCTGTTCTTCTGCCGTGGGAGCGCGAAATTTCTGGGCTCCCCGGTTGCCGGGCCCACAAAGCGTTCCGGGCCGTGCCCGGGGCGCCCAGCGGACACCATCTTTGTCCCTCTGGCCTCTTCGTGAACAGCCAGAAAAAGCCCTACTCCCCGTGCGCGCGTGTGCGCCGCCTGCAGCCCCCAGAGCCCGCGGCCGGGCCCAGAGTTCCCAGCTCCCAAATCCGGGACCACGTTAACGCCCCGGGGCGGGGTGAGGGCGGGCGCCGCTCTCGGGTCCCGCCGCGGGGATGCTGCGCGGCCCAGACGCACCCTCGCTCCGGAGCCCGGCTCGCCTTGCGCTCCCAGTTCCCACACAAGTGCCCCGGGTCACCGAGGGAGTGACCGACGCGCCCAGCTTCGCCGTCCGCGGGCGTGGCCGTGGGCTTCCTGTTTTATGTTACGAATTCACGTGGATTTGGGCTTTTGTAGTCCTGTGATAGAGCTGTTTGTTGTGTATATATTCCCCTCCCCGCTAAATAATCAGGTGAATTTTACGCTCCATGCAGATGTGTCGCATATTTTTTCAGTGGCTTCTTGCCCCTCCCCCTCCCCGCCCCACTAATGTATATTAGAACCCAGTGGCGCAACCTCCTTGCTGTCTGTAAATCCACCTCTTTGGGCTCCCTCTGTCGTTATTTGCTTCAAAACTCAACTTTCACTCTTTCCAGAGACCTTAATTGTGTTAGACAACAGAGTACCTGTGCGAAGTGCTGGTGAGACAGATCAGAACAGGTGCAGCCTCTGTCCTGCTCACCCACCAGTGAAGGGTGGTAGTGCTGAGTTCATCAGAGCCATTAGGCTTTCTGCAGTCCTGCCAGGTGTGCTGTGTGCAAAGGTTATGAGGATTCTTGTATCGATCCTCTCTTCGACCACATCTCTCAAGGTCCAGTATGGAGTAGAAAATATCAGATGTTTTTAAACATGATCTTTTTCAAGGTAGCAATAATGTCCCCAAACTGAAAACCTAAACTTGAAAATTCTTATGAATAGGGACTGCAACCTGTTTAGCCCTCCTTATCCGTGCTTGTCTTCCTAAATAATCTTGAGGAAGGTGAAGATGTCGGCCTTTTGTTTTGATTAGATCAAAGAAGCTTGAAAGAAGCCCAATATATAAAAGCATAAAAATTTACGTTAATGTAGTCCATAGACATACTCATTGTGTTAAACTAGCTGTTAAAACTTTATAAGGCATTGAACAATTGTATAGTATGCTGCCACTTGTGGTTTTAAAAAATGACGTATGTGTATATATATATTTTTTTATCCTCACCTGAGGACATTTTTCCATTTTTTGTTTAGGTAGAGTGGGAGGGAGAGAGAGGAACAGAGAGAGAGAGAGAAACATCGATGTGAAAGGGACACATCGAGTGGCTGCCACCCGCACAACCGACCAGGGCCGGGGACAAACTGCAACCGAGGTACGCGCCCTTAGCGGGAACCGAACCCGGGTCTCTCAGGACCGCAGGCCGATGCTCTAACCGCTGAACCAAACCAGCCAGGGCTGTGTATATATTTTTATATGAAGAAATTTCATTGAGAATCTTGGGAAATTGTTACAAGAACATGCTGAGGAGGGGGTGCCTCCTGTCTAGGTCAGAGAAAGACTAAACTTTTCATTGTACAATTTTATGTATCATTAAAATAAAACTTGTTTTATCATGTGCATGCTGTTATTGTTTTGTTTTCTTAATAGAGATTATTTTTAGCTTTCCCAAAAGCTATTTTATGGAAAAAGTAAAAACTATACAAAAGTAGAATACTATAAAGAACTATGTACCAACCAATTTCAACATTATCTCATCAATCTTGTTTCATCTATACTCTCTTCTCAGTTTTGCCCCTCTTGATTATTTTGTTCCAAGTTTATCTGGTACATTTTCTGTCCCAGATATGGAATCAGTCATTTCTCCAAAGAGTTCTGGCTCCTTTTAGTGGGAAATGATATTTCAAGATAAAAATCTGGATACTAGAAGATAAAAAAGCAACAACAACCAATATATTATTTCTATTTTTTTCTTTATTGATTTTAGAGAGAGAAACATCAATGAGAGAGAACATCAGTTGGCCACCTCCTGCATGCCCCCCACTGGGGATTTGGCCCATAGCCTGGGCAAGTGCCCTGACCAGGAATCAAACTGGTGACCTCTTGGTGCATGGGTCGACGCTCAACCACTGAGCTATACTGACTGGGCGAATATATTACTTGTAAAAGTACAAAACACTCAAAGAAAAAACTTTACATAGGTTTTAATCTATTTCAAGGTTATATTAATACAACACAAAATCGAACTTAAACCATTATCTGATTAGGTAAGGTAATAGCCAATGCAAATAAACCAGGCTCCAGAGTGTCTATTTTTGGCCTAAATGACCTGCTTAGGGGACTCATTGATGGAAGAAAAAGATAATGACCAGATCAGTATAGTTCCCCAAATCTCATGATAGGGAGTGAGGGAGTACAAGAGGGAATTCAGGGAGCTGCCACCAGTATGTGCCACGGTGCCTTAGTTTCTGCCAGGCTTAGTGGCTTGCCGTTTGAAATGCCATCGAGCTTAATGGAAGCTATTGCCCATAGCTGGCTGCAGCAGGAAGGCTTGCCTAAGGAGACTGATAACCTGTCTGGTGTCAAGAGGACTGGTAAGTTTAATGGGTAGACAGAAAAAGCCTGGATGCCATTATGAGTAACAGAGCCAAAATACAGCCTGTCATATGCGTGTGTGTTCATGACAGAACTGAATGATGACATAATATGTTAACCCATGCTATAGTCAAAATAGTAATTTTTTCATTTCCTTTGTATTCTTTAAAGTATGAAGCTACTTAGTAAGGTTGAAGCAGCTTTTTTTCGCACATGCGCATTGGAGCTAAGAGGATGAAAGTGACCTATGGTTTAGAGGGCCAGGACTTTGAACCCTTTTACTGGTGTTGGTGATGGTGTCATTGAGGTTTTCATCTGATCTCCTTGTGATCTACGGCCAGATTTGCGATGGCAGCTGACCTGGGCAAGGAAGATCTTTTCAGTGGTCAGGAAACCAAAGTTAAGCTACCAGCAGATTTCCTGAGCATCAGAGCAGTCTTGGCCCCTTGGAGCTGTACAACTCAAAAGGCCAAGAGGACACAGCTCAGCGGGAGAACGGCCATAGCTAGCTTTCTATATAAAGTACTTTATCTCCTTTAAATGTTTTGAATTTAAAAGGAAAAAGCAAAAATAAAAGTTATGTACATGGAAGAAAACTGTACAATTAAAGAATATATCTATGTGTTCAATGAAATGTCTTCTTTCCACCCTCTTTCTTCCTAGGTTTTATTGTTTGTATATTCTCAATAGACACACAGACAATCATACTTGCAATAGCAAAGGTATCTTGGGAGCTGAGAGCTATTCAATTTCCTGGCAGATACAAAAAGGCCTGAAACTGGGAATTGAAAAAATGTTCCCACCCATAACAGTGGATTAAAATGTTCTATTCCTTTATAAAATGAATGGTCTCCTGGTAGTGAAGTTTGTTTGGTCTGCAAAAAAAGCATGTATTTTACTCATAGACATATAATAAACCCCTAAAATAGCCAACAATCTTTTAGTACCCAGTTTGCATTAGTCACTTATTTGTGGTTTGTGGATTTTTCTTTTAACAGCTTTATAAAGATATAATTTATATACCATAAAGATCACCCATTTAAAGAATACAATCCAGTGGTTTTTTTAGTAGGTACTGCCAGAGCTATGCATGCGGTTCATCCTTTAATATTATTACAGAAAACACTCTGCTATAACTTCTCCTAGGTGACTAAGACCTAATATAATGATCTCTTTCATTTATCCAGACACCTTAAAGGACAGTGGTTAAAAGCATGTACTCTGGAACTAAGCAGCCTAGATTAAAATCCCAGCTCTGCTGTGGGCCTCTGCTGGTAATTTCTCTGGGCCTTGGTTTTCTTATCTATAAAAAATCATAGAATCTCTTCACTGGGAGGATTAAATGGGATAGAACATACACAGAGCTTAGAACAGTGCCTGGTACATGGTAAACGTTATATAAATATTTGCTATTACTAATATATTTTCTCTTTGTACTTGAGTTCATAGAATTGGATTAATCATAATCCTTAGTTCATGACACACAATCATCAGTAGTTCATCCATGGGCCCTTCAACTTTTCATTTATTTATTTATTTATTTTTATTTTCATTTATTGATTTTGGAGACAAAAGAAGAGAGAGAGAGAGAGAAAGAGAGAGAAACATCGATGAGAGAGAACATCAATTGGCCACCTCCTACATGCCCCCAACTGGGGATCAGGCCCACAACCTGGGCATGTGCCCTGACGGAGAATTGAACCCGCAACTTCTTGGTGCATGGGTCGATGCTCAACCATTGAGCCACACCGACTGGGCAACTTTTCATTTATTTATCAAGAACATAGCGAATATCCACGAACCTACTACACAATCCAAGAAAAAGAAACGTCTACCTAAATGCTCCTCCCTTATCCACTGCCTACCCTCATAGGTAGGTAGCTACAATCCTGAATCTGGTATTTAGAAATTCCTTGTTTGGTTTTAAGAACTTTTAAGAATATTTTAAAGGAAATTTAAAGTATTTATATATGTGTGTGTTTGTGTCTGTGTGAGT